TGCAACCATGAAACTGATCTTGTAATGTTAAATAGAATATAATCCCATTTATATCTGAACCACTTCGGTATCAGCAGATGTTTGCTTAAAAAGATTGGCTTTGGACAGATGTTTAGATTTGGCCAGTATTACAAACCAATATTTGATGTTGTATATCGCTGCTGTCGGAAGAAAACCTCATATCTCTATTTTTGTCGTTTTTTCAGTTTTTGACATAATGTGAAAATGCCTGTTACCCTTTACATTGTTTGTAAGTTTCATGAAGAATGGACCAAAAGAAACGGCCCAAAAAAACTCTGGTTCCATTGACTTACATTTAAAGTAAAGTATTTTCCTTCTCCTGTAAAGTTACCATTTTGGAGATACAAGGTTTTCTTCCGACAACAGCGATATATTGAACTCTAGAAGAACTGAGTAATTATTTATGATTATCAATTCCCTTGTTGCTGCATCCCTAGTAATATTACTAGGTCTACTTCTGAGGAGCATTGGCCTGTCATACTGTGCTGATTTTTATTGTTTGTTGAGTTCAGCTGGTGTTCATATCATAATTCCCTTTCATGGAATCATTTCAGTTTCTGTACGACAGTCCCACACCAAGCCAACGGCACACATAAGGCCCAGACAACAGGAGAGAGCAAGTCTGCGGGTGATGCTGAAGGTAGAAGTTCAGTATTTAAAATGCAGACAGCTGTAAAGTAGCCTTGTAGAAGTTTTCTCATGTAGATTTTCTGAGTAATGCTACAAAATGTTACTTATTTTTTCAGTCTAAAATGGAAGTGTTTATCATAGCTGTGTCTCTTTGAAGTGATAGTGGCCTGGAAATCAAGGCTGGGTGTCATGTGATGTATATCCAATGCATTAACTTGATTTCTTCTGTTGTGTATATCTCTCTGGTTATCAGGAGTGTTTGATGAAATAAGTCCGCTGTCCTCTCCTCCTCTGGATTCCCCAAACAGCAGTGCTGACATCACACTTGACACCACTGGAGAGCTCACAGTGGAGGATGTGAAAGATTTTCTAGTGTGCGTCGAGATGTTTCTCTTGGAGATATGGCTGCATTTTTTTATGATCTCACTTTTAAGCATTGCTTTAGAAGCTAAATCACAATGCCGCATCATTTTGAATGGACATTTGTGTCTCTCTCTGATATTAGGATCATAGTGTAGGTAATGTCTGTTTATTTCTTAGATCCATATGTTTGTTTGCTTCCTCAGGACTGTGGACGAGGCTGAGAATAACTTGAGGAATATGACTGAGGAAGATGGACGACCTCCTGGAATTATCATCAACTGAGAGGGGCCGAAAACTGGAGGTGAGTTTCACTCTAAACTTAGGAACACTCCAGTTGATCCATTAGCTCATGTTAGAAAGTGTTCATCTGGAGTGGGTGGAGAACGGATATTTGTTTTTGGATCCTACAGGAAGATGTGCCCAAGCAAGGAAATGAACCCCTGTTGAGCCCAGAAGCACTTTTGTGTTTGTGTTTGTGTGTGCATGTGTATCTACTCTGGGGATGACGATTCTTTGTAGTTGTGCGTGACTAAACATCTGTGTTGTTTAGAGCTTTATTAAGCACCTCAGGGATCTGATTGCTGTTTTACTTTTTGATAAAGTAACACAGCAATCAGACAGTAAGAGAAGGCTTGTATACAGGGGTAATGAACTCTGGTCCTGGATGGCCAGTGTCCAGCACAGTTTGGTAATTGTCCTGGTCTGAAGACACCAAATAAACCTGGAAACCTGATTGTTTGAGTCAGGTGTGTTTTGAGTAGAAAAAAAATCACCAAACTGTGCTGAACTCTGGCCCTCCAGAACTAGGTATCCACCCTTGCTCTTATAGAACATAAATCCAGGGTTAAGAGAGGGCAGAGCAGTCCCAGAAGCCATATGCTGTAACAGTAGCTGACTTCATTCAGCTTCCCCTTGTTGTGGTCCAAAGCGGTTTGCTCACCCCGTTTACCCCCTCTTAGAAATGCCACAGCAGTTTTCTCTTTTACTTACTCAACACGAGAGCAGCAGGGCGCCCTTCCCCCATCTCTCTTCTTCCTCTCCACCATCTTCCTTTTTTTCCCATCTCCCTTCACCCATCTTCCTATTCCTCCCCACCCCTCCTTCCCCATTTCCCGCCTTCTTCCATCTTCATTCCTCATCCCCATCTCCCTACCCATCTCCCTCGTTCTCCCATCTCCCTTCCCTCATCTCCCTCATTCATTCCCCATCTCTTCATCTCACTACTTCATTCCCCATCTCCCTTCATCTCACTACTTCCCCCGTATAGACTGCTACAGCTAGCCCTGATCAGAGCATTGTCATACATAGTACAGTATATCCTGGCCGTCCCTCACGGTTATATAATTCAGCTTTTATCATTTTGTGGCGATTTCCTTTCTGAATCTTCAAGTTGCTTGCTGCTTCCCCCTTGTGGTCATGTTTGGCGGTACAGGTCAAAGTTATGCTTTCAAGGACTGAGGTCAAAGAGAGTGCTATTTGGACAAGTGTCTGTAATTATGCACAGTCAAATGGATTAAATTTGATTGAAGAATGTATTTTTCAGGGCTTTTACTGGAGAAGTGATGAAGATTCCCTTGGTACTCCTAATCAGAACTTGAGAAGGAGAATAGGACTCTCGGGGGAATGCTGCACTTTCCCTTTTGCCAAAACATTGAATGTTTCACTCTTGGCCCTAATCTGCCTTTTACATTTTCTTCCCTTCAATTAATGTTACTCTCACCGTGTGTGAGGTGATATAGTAGCTCTTCGCAGCGTGAGAGCGTGGGCTGAGTGCATTGGAGAAGGAGGCTTGATCACACATTGCACAACTTTCAGGCAAGAGGCTATCAGGATACTTGCACTGACCATGTGTTCAGTAATTTTTTTTTTTTCTTCCACATTCCTCTTTCCATGTGCTACCACGCCACTTTGCCTGCCCTCTTTCACTGTGTGCCACTAAGAGGAGTGCATTCTGTATGAAATGTTTCTTGTGCCTCCCAGCAGTCTTTTCAACTTTATCTGTGATATTGTGATGGCTTATGACAGAAAAAAAAATCAGCAGGCCATTGAAAAGTTCAGCTTATGGACCCTGTGGGTTTGATAGAATATTTTTCCCTCTTTTTTAATGTCACATGTAACCACTTGCAATTGTAAGTAATTCTGACAATTAACTGTGAATTGTAGAATTTGAAGGCGCATGGTGTGTAATCTTCCAAGTATTCTCATCAGTAATTAGTGAGTTTTGAGCTTTGAGTTTATTACTCATGTATGCTTTTGTTACAGTATTAACAAAAATGAAGGAACTAATAGTTACTGATTTTTTTTTTTTTCCATGTAACTTGTATTCAATAGTGTAATTTTATACCACCCATTAATTTGTATTTCTTTTTATGTGGATTATTTAGGCCGTTATGTGTTTTCAGCTCCATTTTGGAAACTGCAGTTTAACAACTTTCATGTAGCTCCTGTGTCTGAAGTGATTAGAAAGAAGCCTTATGAAACGAATACTGTGCCAGTGCAGCACAAATGAGTCAAGTCATAGATATTTGGGGAAATCTGCCAGTGGATTTTAGAGGTGACTAGGAAAATATTTTTATTGTTTTTTTTAAAGTAAAATACTACATTTGGATCTTGTTTCCAAGGAAAAGACCACATTAGTACACTGCTTGGTTAAGGACATACGGTTCCATTTAACCTACTCATTGTTTCCACTGTGTAATTCCAGTTTTTAGATTTCAAAGGGACCTCACTAATGTAGCTGTTCCATTAATCTTTTTTGTATATTTTTGTCTTTATTACAAACATTAACTTTTACATGTTACATTTGACCCCTAGGCCTGTGAATCTGTATTTAATTTTTGTTTCTTGTGTAGAATTGTAATTGGAGATTATAGTTATGCTAATGAATGTTAATAAAGTATTTACTCCTTTAATGTTTGCTCATTTTTGATATCTGGGTTGATAGAATGTGCATGTCAAATGAAATTTGAGGACAATTTAAAGGAAATTAAGTAGCTAGATTTTTGTATATTTACATTTTCTATTTTAGAGGTGCCCAACCTTATCTGCTGGTGTAACTCCAACAAAGCAGGAGCACACTTGATCAACTGTTAGAAGACTGAGACTGCCTGATTTTCACAAGTACAATCAGGTGTGCTCCAGCTTGTTAGGACTGAAAAGCTACAGTCACATGGGCCCTCTGGACAACCCTAGGTTAACCCCTTAAATGGCAAGGGCCTGCCGGGAGGCCCAAAGTTCTTCTACAACCTAAGACTAGCAGAGCCAGTTTGCATTGAAGTCCTTGTAGTTACTGAATAATAAGCCTGGGATTTCAAAGGTTCAAATGGACTCTGTGGCCAAAATGAGATGTTTAACTATTGTTTCATCATCTGTTGTAAATGTTATTACAAGCCTTCTACAGTGGTGCCACAGTAGTCCCAAGTGTGAGATTTTCTACAAAACAAAAGCCCTCTTCTGGTGACTTTTTTTGTATTTATTGGCCTCTACATCAGTGCATTTCTTTATTGCTGTGGAGGCCGTTCTCAACAGTATTGTGTATTTGCGCAATACTGGATACTGTAATTAAACACTGATGGGAAACTGAATGAGACTGAGGGATGAAATGCTTTGCTACAGAGTATTACATAACATGACAACCAACCCATTAAATACTAGATTTAGGCTTGAAGTATGTCTTGCAACAAACATATGCACTGTAAAAGGTGGAACAGGGCAGAATTGAGTGTTTCAATGTCTGAATTGATATAAAAGTTTGCTTTGCCATGAAAAATCTTACTTGCCCACTATGATTAAAAAAGGTGATCACATTTACAGCCATACAGAAGACATGAAAGGCTTTACATTTCCACTTACATCAATGAAAAAGCTCATAGAAGTTATGCACAAGAATCAATCTCTTCTTCAGGTTCTATGATGCACAATGATTAAGCATTATTGGGGTTCATATTACTCAAAGCTAGGCCAAAGACTTGAACATCATCTCTGTGTATGTTTGGCTATAAGGCTATAAGTCTAATTTATGTTTAATTCTGAAGCAAAAGAAAAGTAGAATACAGCATATCTTACAAAACACAACACACTAAGTTGAATTTTAACATGCAAGTATTCATCTCTTTAAAATATATATATAGTACATTTTGTTCCTATTTTTCATCTAGTAACTGCAACATTTCAACTCTGATCAAGAAAAATAACATTTTTATTGATGTCAACAATTAACTTGGATCATTAAAAAGTTATTCCAATGTACAATCCTCAACACTTTTAATGTATAGAAAAGAAGAAAAAAGTAACGTTCTTGGGTTGTAGTCATTTAAATCAAATGCTCAAAATTCCTTATTCCATATTTTCTTCATCTTCATCCTCTTCATCATCTTCATCAAAGTACCGCTCCTCTGCATCACGGTTTACAATGTCTAGGTTATCATAATCTGGGTTCTCGTCCACTTCACTGCAACAGGAATGATTAACATAATTAATAAATCCCAAGTATAATATTCACACTCCACACAATGTGCAAGACAACTAATAATTTTCCATCATTAGAGTGAAAAATCTAATTATTTTGAAAGTTTCCCTGAGGAACAACTAATCAGTGAAACACCATCTTTAAAGTACATGACAAATGTTTAAAAAGAACAGTTTCTGATCGTGCAGGCACAGTTATCAGGTGATGGTATTCTGAACATTTGGCGAAGTGAGAGCATGTCTCAAATAGACCACCGATGAATTGCACTGGTTTACTACTTTTAGATAACACAAACAGATGAGGGAAATTTTACTGTATTGAGACTTTAGTGCACTATTAACCTGTAGTTGAAGTCTTTATCTTTGCCATCCAAGAAGCGCTGATGCATCTGACTCAGAAACTCTTCTCTTAGCATTGCCTTCTCTTCAGCAGTTGGCTCCCACTCTGCCTGTCTAGACTCATCATTCTCTGTGAGTACAGAAACAGAATCATGTGCCAAATGTTGATTATGCAAGACTGGCCAATCTAACTAGGTTACATTTGTGTTTTCTTTCAACGCAACACATGAAGTCACAGCGTTCAACAATATAATAAGGCAGTCAGTCCTTTGCAAAAGTTTGAATGCCTCAAGACAAATTACAGGTTCAGTTGAATTTCTAAGTGAAAATAAGTGAACACATCCTCTACAGGGATCAAAACTCAATATAGCATTTTTCTGCAATTTTTGGTGGACAATTTCTATTTAGTATGTGCCATAACTTTTGGACAGGCCACCCCCCACCCCCTCCCCAATCTCTGAAATTAAGCAAATAAACAGTACTTGCTTTCACTTAAAAAAATTAACAAAATATATCATATGACCAGGGCAGTCCAAATTTGACTGTACAGTGCTCAAAAGTAGTCTTATGACACTCTCTGAATACAATTCCTCATTTATGCTTCAGAAAAGTTATAACAACCAGGTTTACTAACAGAAACTTAAAATGATCCCGATAATGACTTGGAAAAAAAAAAGGCAAATAAATTGTTGCATATTCTTTTTTTTGTATGATAGCTTGAAGTCTTCTAGGAATGGACTGCATGAGTTTGCACAACCAATGCTCAGCAAGGCTTCTTGCATTTTCTCTTTTGGAAAGAGAGAGCATGACAAGTTTTGAACACTTTCCTGTCTCTTTCCACATCTTTTTCCACACATTTTTCACTACTTTCACTACTTTCAGATTTCAGTATTTTCAATATATGTGTCATCTTTCTCATAGGCATTTTTTGACAGATCAATTAAACACAGTTTTTTAAATCAGCATCTTTCAGAATGCTAATGAAATTTTGCGTCAGGTGTGTTGGATGGTGGCTTTCCAAGAGCAGCACTTGGAAGATTTCTGGTGTGAACATGTGTGTGTCTTTTGTTTTGAAGTGAGATTGGGGGGGGGGGCTTAGGTGCAAGTATTGAGAAGTTATAATATAGCTGAATATGGCAAAGGACAATTTCCATAAAACATTGACAAATTCATTAAACACACAAAATGACAGAAGTGTCTAAATACTACCTTTGATAGCTGTAACTGAGCATAGGGTATTTCACAAAGCATTATCTCAGTAAAGCTGGATAATTCAAGTTTAAAGTGAGGACTACTCAATATGCATGGTCCTCGTTTCTAGGGATCGGCAATATGACAGCATTTTATTGGTATTGTGAAATTATGTTACAATACACCTTTCTGAGCAAAATGGATATTGTCAGGGTTTAAAGAATACTGACCAACCTTTAAACAGAGCATAATTAGACTTGGTTACTTGAATTTAGTGCATCTCTATATGTAAAACTCAAAAAACTGAATATCATGATGCATATTAAGTATTATGAAAATGTCAAGTATTATGATACAATGTTTTGCCATATATTTTCTTTTATTGTCCTATTGGACAGGCTTGACCTTTGGTGTATGTTATCTGGTGAACTGAAAAGTCCTGCTTTGTAAAATACCCCACAGATCTGTTCTTGTACACCAACTGAGAATGTTAAGGACTTGACAGAGAAACTACCTTATAGGACCTGAGGTGCATAAGCAGTAGGGCTGCACTTTTATTATTTGCTAATCTTTACTGCCATATTGATCTTCATAACACTGACATCGTAAAAGAACCATTGGAAGTCGTACGACAAGAAATACAATTGCAATATGGCATTTTGTCCATATCTTGCAGCCAAGGTAAGCAACCATTTTGAACTGTTACTCAGTTGCGAACAGTGCAAAAAATTACTCACCCTCCTCTTCTTCCTCCTCCTCCTCCTCCTCCGCACACTGCTGTCTCTCCTGCTCATCCTGCAGCCGGTTCTGGAGCTGTCTCTCTTGATAGGAGTCAATGAGCAGGTCAGCCAGACTTCCCGGGCCTTTCTGCATGGCTTCTTCAGAGCGCTGCAGAATCTCCTCCTCACTCAGGTACTGCCCAATGTACTGCTCGTAAAGCAGAGGCTCTCGAAAACGCATCTGCTCCTCACTAAAGTACTGGCCCTCTACAAGGTGAAGGAGAGATCCAGTTAGGACAAGATTGTTTGATTCTGGTCCTGGAGGGCCAGAGTCCAGCACAGCTCAGTGATTACTCTGTTCAAACACACATACTACACCTGGAGAGTAATTCTCAAAGCAGAGTTCCTCAGTCAGTCAGATAACTTAAGACAAAAGTCAGGACTGTCCAGTAGGAGGACAGGTAAAGCACAAAATAACTGGACAAGCCTCAACATTTAGCACAACGTTATCTAGTTAACTGTGAAATACCTGCCTGATATCCCCCTGAATGCATTTGAAATGGGTATGTTTAAGCATGGAAATCACCACCAAGCTGTGCTGGAACAAGGGCTTCCAATGACCTGAGCTGGACATCACTGAGTTAGGCTAACATCACTCAAGGATAATCAGTTATATTTGCTAGAAACTGTTATATAAGCAAGACATGAAATTGTAGCAATAACCACAAGAAGTGGGCAAACTTGAAATGCCACTCGTACCCCTCTGAAGTGCTCGGAGGGCAGCATAGCGATGGTTGCGGACCCTCGTCCTGCTGGCTGAACTGGATGCCCGTTTCTGGACCTCTGTGCAGTAGTACTGTGCTCTACAGTCACTGCTCAGGTGAGAAAAGGCCTCCAAGTGCTCTGGTTTCATATGTACATGATAGCGCTCTAGAAAGACTAAAGGCTTGGCTTTATACTGTTCCATTAAGACTTCCTTTTTCTCCTCCACAGTAAGGTCAGGCTCTCCCAGCTGCTGGCTCTTCACTGGACTTCCACTGGTTGCTATGGCCTGCATCATTGCAGTGAAGCTGCTGGAAACTTCCTCCTGGGGAAAGAGGGCAAGCAACAGAAAAACCCAATAAACTTTCCACTGTTGTGATTTGTTCTACTACGCAGATGTGAGTAGTAACTAACTGCATTTACTCAGATATATGTACCAAATTGACTCTGATTGATTTGTACTTTTTTAAAATGATAATAATTCCACTTCCACATCTTTGGTCATTAACATTTAGTTACTAATTTCTTTTTTGTTGCTAAATTTTATTAGATTTTGCCTTTGATTGTGCATGATTGGATAGACATTTTAAGGTTTATTCTTTGTGCTAAAACACAGAACAATAACAGTGATACTAATACTATAATGATAGAACTGAATGTACTAAGTTCCACTGCAGGTCTATAAGTTAGTATTTAAGCAGTTTAGTAATTTTGTACTTCTACTCGAAATGTTTTTTGGAAAGGTACTTTTTTATGAGTCATTATTTCACTTAAGTAGTAATACTTTTAGTTGTGTACAGGTTGAGGCTACTCTACCCACCTCTACTACCAAGAATACTATATTTTATGGTCTTAAAATACTGTAGGCTTCAGAATATTCCTCACCTGGACCTGGGGCTTTGAAGGCTGTGAGCAAACCATGTCTAATGCAGAGTTATTAACACCCTGGACCACCTTGTCATCTTCTTTCGCCATCTGTGCTTCGAAGATCGCAGAAATCACTGGTTTGTGTCCTTCATCGATTTCACCCCACATTTCTTCTTCTCACTGTACAGCGTAAAATCGCTGTTGTCTTAGTTGATGAATTATCACGTAACGTTAGTCGAGATTAGCTTGGTGTAAACAAGTTATTTAGCCAAACCGTGACATCTGTTTCAAACGCAGAGCGAAAAGTAATTCCATATCACATGATTGCGATACTTGCGTTGGAAACGGTGAATTATTTAGGACGTGACTGTCATTAAAACACCAGCAGCGAATAACATTTTTAATGATAAACCATGCATGTTTACATGGACACCTGCGACTCAATGCACAGTTAGCTTTAGCTAAGCTTGCTAGCTGAACTTTTCCGGATGCTTTCTGGAAAACGTCCCTCGTAAAGTGTGAACAGAGAAAGGGCTTGAAATATCGGCTCTGTTAACAGTCCAGATAATTCTCTTTTTTTCTGCTACACCCCTTTACATGTAGGTAGCCAAGCTAACAGAGATAAACTACTGGTTTTGCTAGGTTGTTTCTCGGTAGTGCCCCCTGTGCGTCGTGTTTTATCTTCCCTTACACGCGTCTCTGTATTGAGTGGTTCCTCTTCCACTGTAACGAGTTAATTTTCCACTAGATGGCGCTGAAACGCCAAGAAAAAAAAAACACTATGTGGATTTGCCAAAAAAGAAATCAAAGATATTTAGCAACTAAATGCTTTACAATTTTACGTGTCACACTTAGGTTTGTGATATATCAGAATTATATTTCAACTTCTAGTTGTGTATTAATCAATTAAAGGGGCATTTGATTTAAAGCTAGCATTTGAGAACAATTAAATTAACCATGATATGAGCCTTTTAATATGTTATTTGTTATATTGTGCAGCATTCTGTAGAAGAGCTCTGCACCTCTCAGCCTTATATGTTTGATAGAACATGTTTTCATGTTTTCGTCCATCTGTTCCTTCACTACAATACCCAGCATGCATTACACAAATACATCGTACAACCATTGGAATCCCTGGTGCTCAACAAATCCTGACTGCTGGTCCCTGATCTAGAGGCTAATAAATACACCTGTGGTGATGGCTAGCATTAGTGAGCTGAAAAGAAGTGAACTTGGCTATTTTAAATTAATATAATCCGAAGAAATGTAACTCTGTTATCAGATTAACTGGGACACTGTTGCCTCTGTGTGTGAAATGTGACTGTGTTGAACTGCCAGCAATGAGAAGTGAAAGACGATGAGTGAGTCTCCCTGCTGCAGGGGCAGTTAATACATAAGCAAACTAAGCACTGCTTAAGAAAATGTACTTCAGAATTGTAACTCATAGCTCAGAGCTCCACGGGTATTGCCCTGGCAGTGGAGACTTAATAACATGTAAATAGTTGTGACTAAGGGGACATTATATATGTTACGTTATATGTTATGGTATCTTGAATTTGGTGGTGCTGTAGCACCAGTTGGAAGATGTAGAAAGAAGAAGAATGAGTAGTTGCTGCTGGTGCTGGCTAACCATTTTGTGTTGTGGGAACTTAGAGAACCCACATTTTGACAAATGGAGGATCATACATTTAATTTAGCACAAGAAAAAGCAAAAGAGAGTGAATCCTCTTTGTCAGTAAAGAAGTAAAAACACAAAAAATAAAATCTAAATTAAAACCTGATGGCCACCATAGGTTCTGCTACATGCTTGGAAACGGTGATGGCGGGGTATTCAACTAATTGCAATCTACAACTTAACTGCTAGATGCCACTAAATCTTACACACTGCACCTTTAATTGGCCGGTATGCGTCTTGTCAGTTGTGTAATTTGTTTCTAGTACTACATTTGAAGACCTTGAATATATAACACTTTAGGCCCTCCTTTTTTTTTTTGCAAAAGAATGAATGACATGACTCTCAACCAATCACTTCTTATAAATTGTCTCCCAGTATGTCACTGTCACTATCAAGTTAAGAACTTACACAACTCCTCAGATCAGAACTGCAGTGAGAACAGCAGTGCCAGAAAATTAGACAACATAATTAGAGTATGAGAGGTGAAAAGGGTGTTACTGAGGAACATTTAGTTCACACACATCATCCCGAAGGATGATGGTGCTGTTATTTCACTTCTGAAACTAAATAAAAATGGTTTTAAACTAGGTAGAAGACCTACTCACAGCACAATGTCACATGAACTAGCATCTTTGAGGTAAGCTAAACTTTATCTAGTTAAATATACTTGCTAGCACTCATTTTAATCTAATGTCTAACAATAAATAACATTACAGAATGTTAAGATTATTAGCTAGCTTAGTTAGCGTTTATAACTTAGCTGTTGAAAGTTAGCCTGATAAATTTACTTAGATTAAACAGGACTGTGTGATAAAAAAAATCTATATGTAAGTAAAAATTAATACTATAACACTCATAGCAGTGCATCTTCTGCACTTGTCATTGAAATTTGATTGAAGAGCTTGTGTAGAAAACGTGTCCTCCTCAGCATATCTAGTGATATCTTTAGCTTTAGCGTTAGCTTATCTGAAGGAGCAGAGCAGTCTCCCTCATCAGCCCCCTCATCTGACAAGAAAACCTGCTGTGTCCACCGGCTAAAACATATTAATGTTAACATGGTTTCTGTAATTCTTTTTGCTTTAAACTGGTTTACATATATATATTCTCAATTGCAATGTGTCAGCGCTGAGAATTTTGTAAATCCAGTGTGTTTTTGAATAATTTTAAAAGGTACTCTACTATACTGTACAATATTGGACTGTGAGCACAACGTTTTATATGCCCTCTCACTTATTGTATTTTGTCCATGTTTAATACCCAAACTTGACCACCAGCCGCCACCCCATATGGAAAAAATATATTCTAAGTGTATTTATCAAATATATTTATGCGAAATATGAAAATATCCCAAAAATGTATTTTTTAAATATATTTTTTTAAATGGATTTATGGATTTATTTGTATTTGTTATTATATTTTTTCAATCATATGTAGTTTTAACAAAGGTTACAGAAATAACTAAATATACATGAACTGAATGAAAGGTACTGACTCTGTGTTTTATATTGTACTTCGCATTAACCATTGTATGTATGCAGTTAGTCAGTGCTCAAACAATATGTATTTCAGATAAACAAGATACCAAATCGTCAAACTGCATTTTCACAGTGAATCAATACCTATAACACTTGCTTTTGCCATGTAAAAGGTTCATTTGCTAATACTTAAAATTAGGATACTGGAATACAAATTTATTTCAAAACATATTCTTAACAGAGAAGTGCATTAGACAAGTATTTTACCTGCCTGAAGTGAGGCCAAAGTTCTTCTTGTTTCTGGAGTGGCCCATTTTGTTCAGCCTGCCAGAAAGTTACCCAAACTCCACCCCCTCACCCAATCAGAGCACAAACATTTTTAAATATTTATATTTAGCTGGTTAAATTATTATTTTTCTTTAAAAAATGTATTTTTTTAATCAAAATGTAGTGTAATGTTATGAAAAAGTCCTTTTTTAATTGACTTGATTTGATTTTTTTTTTGTTACAATTTTTTCTTTTTTTATTTTGATTTAAAACTTAAATACCTTTTTTATTTGTTCATTGGTCTTTTTTTGCCCTTGGCCCAATACAAAAATTGCACTTTGACCCCCAAGACAAAAACTTTTGGCACCGCTTGTCTATATTGTGGCATCACTGTAAAAGGCGAGTAGGCATGTTTACAACTGGTTTAGCGATTTTTTTCATTTTTTCATAATTTTTCATTTTGGCCAGAGTGTTTTTTTAAGTATAACACATTGGATGATGTGTTACCTTAGAAGGGGGTGAATTGCTGAATCTTCTTCACACTTACTGGATGTCTGTGGGATAAAGTTTCATCATACACATGCAAATTGTTATTATCGTAATACATTATCATGTTTTAGCAAATACAATGATCGCATCTTGAAAATCACTGACTTTTGCAACTTTGTTTTTTTGTCTTCAAAAAATTAAACAAATAAAATACAATGAAATAACCTTAAATACTCACTTAGCATTCAGGAAATACTCAGATCAAATAGGCAGATAATGCAAATATTGTAAATATTTATTATGGAAGTTAATTTTGTGTATGTCTAAAAAAAAGTAATAGTCAAATTACCTATTAAAAAACTCCCCATAAGGAATGGCTAATTTCAGTGTCAGATGACCTGCAGCATATGATGCCATTTCTTCCAGAAAAACATGTTTGAAGGGCATGGAGTTATATCTTCCCTTTATTTACCAAATATTTGGAAAGTGTTCATATCATCATATCCCTTTCTCTGTAGTTGCTAATTCCTGATCACATTGTGCACTGACATTCTCAGTCACCTGAGGAACAGCTGTTCTTCTGTTTATCCTTATATGTTCTACTGTCTACTAATGCAGGAGGATCACGCTCATTGGGCACAATTTCCAACCCTATTTACTGGCTTTAGTCACTGTTCTTGTTGAAACACTAGCCAGCTGAGCAGTCTGTGTGCCTGATTAATTCATTGATTAATTGTATTATGCAGTTTATTTGTCTGTAAGCATCTTCACTCATAATGTTTCTCTACTCATTTATTCAGGTTGTGTGTACCCAGACGCCACTTCTAATTGGTGGATTTAGCAACAATATTAATTCAATATTGCGCACCCAACTGTGTATTATCTCCATATAAAAGCATTATAGAATGGGATGCTCTGGAGCAGCAGCACATGAGCCTAATGTCACCATGCCCCATACCAGGTGTCGGCTTGAGGGGTATAAAGCCCTGTGGAGCTGTGTTCTCTAGAGTGATGGAGCAAATATCTTTGGGGTGAGTTGTAGTGGTGTTTGTGATCCAGAACTAACAATTCAACTTCAGTACTTGACCTCACTAACGCTCTTGTGGCTGAACACAATCAAATCCTTACAGCAATGTTTGAACATCTAGTGTAAAACCGTCCCAGAAATGTAGAGGCTGTTACTGTAGCAAAGTGGGACTTACTCCCTATTAATTCCCTTGATCTCCGAAGAAATCTTGGATGAGCAGGTGACCACTAATTTCTGGAAGTACAGCATGTTTGACGAACCTTCTGTTTCTGACATAACTGCTCGCATTTAGCTGCTTCTGCATATCAACATTTCGTTTTGGTGTTTGTTTCCTTCTGTCCTTTCTTTTTGCTATGAATGTGGATAGAAGTTTTGGAAGCAGTTGGAAGCTGAAGAGGTTATATTTATTATATTTGTTCTTGTCTTATGTGAAGTTAAAGAAGAGGATAATGATAAAAAAAAAGAGTGAAAAGAAGAAATCAGCCGTCTTATTTTTGAATAAAAATGTTTATCTTTAGTTGACAGAGAATATCGCTCAGATCACAGTGTGACCTTTGCACAATAAAAAGTAACAATACAGTGTAGAAATCGTATAGCCATTTAAATACCTCTCTTGCAATAACATCTGAGCCATTTCAAATCAAAGAAATCTGAAACAAAATTATTGCAGACACTTTGCTTAAAGAAAAAGAAAAAAAAAGAAGAAGAAGAAAAACATTGGAACTTTCTTCCAGGAAAGATTGAGGACAAAACTTGAATTACTTATTCAAGGTCAATAGGTTGCCTGATGGCGAAAGCTCAGATTCCAACAACTGTAATGTCAACATCCTCAAAGTGATTCAAACACTTTAAGCATGTAAATGCCACGTCCTTCACTCGAGTCTCTTTGTTCAAACATTTGTTCCCAAAAAATCTCAACCGTCTTATAGCAAAAATCACAGCAGTGGTAAAACCTAGGAAAATTTCAGTCGAGTCAAATTAACTGAACATTCATTGTCCACTAAAATTGCATTTCAAATGCCACTTCAATAGTCTTCACACCATGATTTTTGCTTACACTTAAGCTGTTTAAGCTATGATCTCTCAAAGATACAGATTACCATAAAATATTGCGTTAGACAACGAAGAAGTTGATCTACAAAGAGGAAAACCTAGACAGCCCATTACAGCCCAGTGCAATTAGGTAGTTAGTCTACAAACTGAAGTTGAAATATAAAAAAAAAATCAAAAACATCCAGATTTTTTTTTCTAAAATTTTCCAACATGCAATAGTTTCACTTTCTGAATCAGCTCAAGATTCAAAAGTTGAGAAGATTAATAAATGACCACTGCTCGAAAGCTTTATTAAATATTAGCTAGTTCTGTTGATACATTGATGTATATGCGGTAGTGAGCTAAATAACTGTCAATAAGATTTTTATGTTTCAAAATCAAATGGTCAAAGGCAATCGTTTTATTGAAAACCACTTTCTGACATTGGGCCTCAATCACCAATATCTTCCTAAGTTTTTTCTTGAATGTATTCTTTAGAAAAAGTCTACGTCAGATTCATGACGTGTTCTTAAACCGCAGAACTGTTTGCACCTTTGTGCTCTTGAGTGTGTGTAGATTCTGTTCTTACCTAAGAACAATCGCAAATAAGAAAACACTGTTGAATGTCAGAATCTTCAAAAATTACGTAAGTGGATTTTAAGAAAAAAATTCTTCTTAAGAATGGTTGGTGAATGAGGCCCATTGTCTGCATGGGCGTTTCTAAAACTATGGGCACTTGCAGGTCCTTTAGGTTCAGGGAGAACAAAACTCAAGTTTACGCTTGAGTCATGCTTAAGTTATAAATTTACTTTTATAAAGGTTTTATCAGAATAGTGCTGAGCTCAGTAAGTCTGCAGAGGACACTGACAAATATGTTCTTCACCTATAAATCATTAGAATTTTGTGATAAAGACCAATTCTTATTCATACAACCTTATTACTACTACTACACTTTATGTGGGATTTTAAATACATTTTGAACTAGAATAGGAATACAATTTACAATTATTTATCATTTTTGACATTAAATCAGTTATACTGTGTGTTATTCCAGATCCAGCTGTGTTGGGACATACAGTATGTAGTCATAGTAAGTGTTATTTTTTTCTGCAATATTTATGGACTTTAATGTAATTTAAAACAAATTTAAAAACTATAAATAGTGCAACTATATATTAATATTAGGACATTTTGCCATCACTAGCACACATGCAGACTGTATTTGTTGTTTCAGGATATTCTTTTACCATCATTTTCAATTTTTCAATTTGTTTTTTTCTTCATTTATAATTTAGATATCTGTATGATTTCAGTTAAAGGAAGACATTAGATGAACTGCTAATTACTTTAAACAGAGCAAGTGATACCAACAGAAGTAAAACCATCTGATGTGGACTAAATTTAACTATATTTGGGATGAAAAAGAGGTAAAGAGCTAAAATATGTTTGTCATCATCAAGTCAATATAATGGTAATAGCAGTTCTTGTTATTGTGCATTTTTTTCAACCAGCATCAACTGCAACAAAAAAGGCTTTCAAATAAAAAACAAAGGTCCTACCATACTGTACCATACAGTGCCATGCTGTCTGCTTACAGGTCCAGAGCTATTTCTGGGCAGCTGTACTGTTTCAGCTTCTCCTGATACCATCTTTACTGAGAAAATGAACATATGCGGAGCTGAAGTGCCCATAGTTGTAGAATCACCGACAGAAATGTGCAACGTCTTTCATGTAATAGTCTGTCTCTTTACTGCAGACACAAATGTAGAGGCACCATGTCGAAGCTGAAAGGTAAACCAGATCCTGTTTGTGCTAAAATCAACTCCCTCTGTTCACAGAAAAGACTCTGGCTTTTCCTTTGACAAAAAGGACAATAGAAAATAGGGAGATCAAGAACAAAGTCTACCTTGCAACGTTATCATATCTACATTGGTTTATTTTGTCCTTTACATGCATACTACCCGTGCCACAGCTAAGGGTCAAAAAAATGCCATTATTAAGTTCAATAATGAACGCGTGTGGAGGAAACCTTACTTTATACGTTGAGATGAACTTGAGTATGGTATAGGGTTGTGTTAGTGAGATGCACGTTACTGACTATGTTTGTGTAAAATGTGAGCAACCTAACAGAGTAAACTTACATAAACATTTACAGTGTATTGCACTGAGGCTACAGATCATTTGATGTTTGGTTCTCGTTAGATCTACTTTAATATCTCATACCCCATCTCCCAATAGAAAAATAAAAATCATCTCAGTATCGGTAGGTCTAAACAGACTATAATTGATCCCACTGCTATTTGATAAAAAAAAATGTACATTCACAAGAGGACAACAAAAGACAAGTCAACTTGAAATTCAAATTGATATGTGCAAAAACATTATAGATCTCTATAAAAAATATGTGCATATGAATAGATCTATTTTCTTCACCAATACAATATTTCCTCTATTTACAATATATGATTTAATAAAGTACAGAACATGTACAGTTCTTACGTTTTTTTCTTTGTTTGACTGTTTTTTGTTTTATTTACTCTGTATACTCCTTTACAGAAAACAGCAATGTTGATGACAAGATGGTATGGATAAAGGAATTAAAAAAACACTACACATCCTGAACTCAAATCAATGTGATTGAGCACTGGGAGTAAGAAAAGAACCAGAGTTCCAAAAGGAAACCTGAAATTGCATATCCCATCTTGCCCGATCACACCCATATCAAAGTTGCCATTTCTGGCTGGCTTACATAATATTACATCTGAAAAAACTTTGGCTACTGAATTAAGTGGTAGGTGCCCCACATCCAAAAAAAGTGCCACGCTTTATGGTGTGCACTACAAGATTTGTCTAAAGTCGTTCACGTTTTCTTTGTCTGTATCTGCATCATTGAGCCGTCCTGTTCACTGTGCTGAAGTCTGTGGATTCCTCCAGTCTGCTGTCAAAGGGAGAGCGTGATTGAGTGGATGGATCATTTTCACAAAGGACGCCTGCCAAGCTGCCCATGGAAGTGGGGTCCACCTGGTCAAAGGTGAACTGTGGTAGAGAGAGATATTCTCCACAGTGGGATGGGTGCCTCTCCACTTTGATGAGAGGCTGGCTGGGGAGTTGGTGCTCCAGAAGGTCTAGCGAGTCACGCTGCAACGCCAGCTCATAGGACGGTGTCCTTCTTCTCAGTAACATGCTGCTCTCTGACAGCTTCTTCATGGACGCCAGAGAAGCCGGGATCTCAATCTCCAGTGGGGGCTCAATGGAGATGCATGGAGGACTCATCTTTTTCTTCCTGGGAATGTGCAAAGAGTGTCCACGTGTGGGTGGGTGCTTCTTTTCACTGCTGCCCTGATTGAACACATCGTCGTCCAGGGAAGGACAAATTTCAATGGAGTGACGCCGGTGGTCCTCAGCGGCAGAAGGCTTGTCCAGAAACCCTTTGGCGTCCACACTAAAGAACTTCTTAGCGTCCTTGTCTGTGAGGCCACAGACGGCCAGGTTTGCAGCGCTGTTGCAGTTCTTTATTGGAACAGGTTGCAGCAGCCCTGGAGTGGTGTAGGGGGACAGTGAGTGGCTTCGCACCTCTGCTGGGAGCCCCACCCACAGCCTGGCCGAGCTGTTGATGTGGCGCACCTCTTCATCGGCTGGGTCGGTTGAGTCGAACATGGATCCGCTGGGGCTGGTGCTGCCGCTGCCACTGCTGGCCTGGCTCGGGGGCCTGGAAGGGATGCGCCGCTGGCTACGTGGGTGCTGAAGGGTGCGGGAGTAGCTGCGAAGGGGCAGCAGAGGGGACAACTGTGGGCTGCTGGGGGCAGAGATTCGGGGCACTGGGAAAGTGAAGCTAGTGGCTGTAGTCCCAACCTGTCTGTCAAAGTTGTCTTTGGAATCATAAGTCTGCACATCGACAGAATCATTCTTAACTGCTTCCTAAAAGTAAAAATAACAAAACAAGATGTAAGTAACAGGGGAATAAGAAAGAGTTTGCACTAGAAACCTCTAAATCTGATTATGTTTCAATGCATTAAGAAATCTCTGATTTTACCATCATTTGATTGGATTTGATTTCATAATTTGTGCACAGTTCATAATGTTATGTTTAGAAATTCACTGAACAAGCCTTACTGAAGGAACTATTCAGATAATACTGGAATATAGACAGTTAAAAAGAACTGACATTTCAAAATGGCCCAAGAATTTTATTTTGTCCAAAAATAAGCACATACTTTATCGAATACTGTTATATATTATGATGCACTGATTCATTTTTATTTTAAAAGAACATTTTGCTTTTAAAGCCAGTTCTTGAAAATAAGGTCACAATGATGAGTAAAACTGGTGCTGCTACTGTACCTGTCTACGTAGAGGCCTGCCTATGCTATGTGTGGGGGAAGGCATGGGAGGAGGGATCCTAGGCATGCAGATGTTAAAGTTGGGAAGAGGAGGAACACCAGGGACCTGCAGCAGGGAATGGCCCTCACATGGCTGAGAGTGGATCGAGGTCACCGAGCCTATTCGGAAAGTTAATGGATCATTCACTTCTATCACGTCTCCATTGCTTGACTTCATTGTTTCAATTTTAGAAATCTGAAGAAGAAAAATACACAAGGTCATGAAACAAAAGCAGTTAAGTACCTAATTCAAGATACCCTTGAGTTGGCTCCACCTCCTGCAGTGGGTATGGTGCGCTGGCTGGCCTCACAGGGCGAAACATGTAGCTGTCATTGGGCAAAGAGTGCATCCTGGACACTGACATCTTCCGTGGAGAAAGCAAATTCTCCTGAGTCCTTTGCCTCTCCTCATCCTGTATAAGAAATGTTCTTGTTTAGCCATAGGCTTTGTCTGTACATAAACGAACCCCCTCCCTCACCCACAAATCCAGGCAAGCTCTTGTGGCAGATTCATTCATCGGCTCACTGAAGCTGACAAAGCATAGCGCCTCCTTGGCAGAAGAGCTGATCAGAAGCTGCAGCAGCAAACAGTTCCAACCCTCCCCTACAGAGGCTCACTACCCACAGCCCTTCAGCACATTTTCTTTGTGCTGTGGCCATCTCAGCACTTAACTGACAATAAAAGTCTGACATGATTTCTAACTCTACATAGTATCCAAACAGGACTCTTCCAAACTCAACCGTAAGTGCATCCTTATTGCCAGACACAAAATGTGAAACTGCAAGGAATTTTGTTAATTGATTAAAGCATGCTAGAAGACAGTTAGAGCTAAATAATTAAAGCTCTGACTATCCTTTTCATATCAACTGTAGAACTTGTTGAAAAACAGAAACAAACTATTTTACATTGATTTATTGATTTATTGTGTTATTTATTTTTTAGGGGTAATGCACATTAATCAACATGTGCCAGTGTTAGCCAACTGGCTGGTTTTCAACTGTAGTCCCTGAGGCCTGATGTTAGCCCATACATAATGGAAAATTTACACACAGGGAAAGGGAAAAATATTAATAAAATGAGTTAATAGCATAGACATGCTGTGACAAACCCTATTCTGGTGTTAAAAAGTCAATATTGTGATTTACTAAACAGGTGCAACAGTTCTTTCGCGCCCATAACAAGATCAAAGAGGCGATTGCTGCATCTTTGCATATGCATTTATAGGAATTTCCCTATCTTAGTGCAAAATACTGAATGCAAATAATCTCCTTTTTGCCAAGGCTGACAGTAAACACTGACTCCTGTGAAAAGCCTGTCCTAGTGTAGACATAGTTGACCGAGAAAATTTCAAATGCAAAAAACATTTGCAAATGCCTGCCACGTCACATTATTCTTAATTTGATGAAGGAAATAAAAACCTAACCTGTTTTTGTAAAACAACTTTTTACATTGTTATTTCCTAATAGTGTACATTTTACACTCATCAAAGTGTCTTAAAAGCAGCTTTTGCCAAAATAACATGACCATTTTCTTTTCCCTGCATTACTAAAGCTATTTGTTACTTTGTTATTTTGTGAGTGCAGTGACTTCTTTCTTTGCAGAAATGTCGCAGCCTTTGATCCACTGCTTATAGCTAAGAGGTTATCCCCACAAAAGTTCAAAATAATACAATTCCCAAATGACTAGGATATGTGGAGTGAAATTAAACAAGGATTTCACAGTATTACACAGTTTCCAAATACTCTCAGCACTCTTTCTCAATGAGTGATTGTTTTTTTTTCACTAAGTCAATATCTTGAGAAAATAAGTAATTATTTTAAAAAGGATAAAAACTTTTTCATCTAGCAGATACAGGCTTTATAACAGCTTTACAACAGCTATAACAAGCAAACAGGGGGGTTTTATTGTGCTGGTCATGTATTAACCTTTGTTCATTTACATCAAAGTTGGTCCAAAGTGTCAGCAGACTGTCAGTAATTAGTGTCTCTTTTAGTAAATCTAATCTGCGGTATCATATCTTGCATTTTGATCACAATTAGCTTAGAACATCAGCTTGGGCAGTACTGAGTAAGCTGATGTTCTAAGCTAATTGTAAACAAAATGCTCTAAAGATCATCCAGGCAAACATACTAGAGCTGTGACTTACATCCCCAGGTGAGTCAGGTCTTGGCCCCATGTAGGTGTCCCTTCCCTCTTGTCCACCACAGCCCTCTGCTGAGACATCAGCATTATTTTTGGGCTCCTTGTCCAGCTCAGCGTCGGTGTCCATCTCAGCTTCTTCCTTGGCCTCCTTATTGCTCTCTTCCAGATGCTTCATTAGCACAGCCACCACCACGTTCACCAGCACAAACTGGGCCATCAACACAAAGGTGACAAAGTAGATTGGAGAGACCAGAGGCAGGTAGTTCAGGCAGTGGCTATCTTCAGGAGTGCAATCCCTCAAAGTGTCCTGCATGAGGCAACCAGAATTTCAGTGACAGCAACACTATTTAATTTACTTTCTGCAATATTTTCAGTGTTGCACAGAGGTACAGTAAATTAATACTTCAGCTTTTCACATTCAACATTCATACAGTACCTTCATTATACCATTCCAATTGTCCCCAGTTGAAACTCTGAAGAGGGTCAAAAAAGCCATTCCGAAGTTCTCAAAAGTGGCATGTCGACTCAGTCCTTCACATGGGTTGTTTTCATTGCAATCTGTGGATGACAACACGTAATAGTCAAGCACAGGCCTGCTATACACATCTCAAGTGAAAAAAGCATTTCAAAAATCATCAGTTATCCACTGAGGCTGTTGTAGAAAGCACAGAAATAACAAAAAGAGGATTTACTGCATCTTTTAAAGGACAAATGAGCAGCTGCCCTCAGAAGTGCCTGACTCAATAATTAGAATTGATTTCAAAGTTAAAGGCAAATGAAAGCAATTAGAGTGCACGTCCTTCAAGACTAGAGCTTAATCCTATCATTTCTCTGATAAGACAAGTCTCACGCAGGGAGCTACTTGACACAGAAATGTCTGCTTGAGCCCAGGGCTACCTCTCATAAAAATAAGCTGCTGTCACAGGGGTAAAGCTCTCACAAATCTCTAAAGATTGACAAAGCTAATTTAGCTCTCCCTCTCTTCTTATAACAGTAGGCCACTGTAGTTTTGGGAGAGCTCTAGATCTGCAAAGAAAGTTGCCCTTAAGGATCAAATCTAAACATCTCCGACCTAAAACCAAAAATGGCAGGCAGCGTGGAGTGCAGGCACTGATTCTGAGAGAAGGAAAGTGTGAGCACAGTAGAGGAATGCAGCACTGACCCAGTTTCCCAAAGAGCTCCACACCGAGTGCAGCGTAGATGAAGAAGAGAAGCATAAACAGCAAGCCCAGATTTCCCACCTAAACAGAGAACACATAATTATACAGTGTATTATAAAAGAATCAATCAAATATTCATACACACACATTAGTCCTGCCCTGCCATCACACACTCACACACACATATTAGCCTTGCATGGTTTGGACAAAATACCATATTGCGATTACACTGCCGCACATTGCATGTCTCATCTCCCTTAGTTACTGTTGTTAAAAATTTTTGCTCAGGCTACCTGGTAACACACATAACACTAAAAGACTAAAAGAAATGTGGAAGCACATTTGAAAACATCATCATTATCATCATCATTATTATTATTATTATTATTCAATAAACTGGCTTTACAGGACATCAGGTGCAGACATAAATATTTGACAACTGACACTATGAACGCACATCAATGTAAAGCAAAAAATTAGGCTGGAGGCTGTGTTTACATTGACCAAACCAGGGAAATCTTTTAGCCATGAGGTGTTAAAGCTGCAGATTGTCATGAGGAGGTTTGAGTGACAGAAGTTGCCCCCTCAGATGAACTAATGCTAAAGCCAACACTGGAGCCAGTCAGCACTAAGGAAGACTTGTCATCTGATTGCATGATTAAGTACATTAACAATTATCTTTACACAGAATGTTTTTATCCCAGAATCCCACTGTACATTTTTGTTTAATCTGACTGATTTATCAAGCTAACTGTCAACATCTAAGTCATGAAATTCTAACTAACTAACTGATCAAAACGTTGTTCTGTAATTTTTTTATTGTTAGAAAATACATTACAATCAGTGTTATCAAGTACAGTAACCTAGATAAAGCTTAGTTTACCTTAGAGCCAGCAAAAATCTGTCTGTTAATAGTTTTGACACTGAGCTGTGAGACTGGTCCTCGACATAATTTAATCCAAAACTTTTCCAACTTGAGGAATGAAACAGAAACACAGTGTCTGAATTACAAGCTTCCCAGTAACACTTCTGAACTTCTAATAATTCTGATTAATTTCCTGCCACCACGGTTCTCACTGCAGGTTTTTCTTCACTTGACCAAGGAAGTAGGACCTAGAGACGATTGTGATTGGCTGAGGTGTGTCAGCCATTATTTTGCAAATGGTCAAATGTGATAAGTCGTGAAATACACTAAAACACACTGGAGTGATTTTAATGACCTGCATTATTTTGACTAAAAGTGTTTAGTATTCATGTTTTGATCATGATGCTCGCAGCACACAATAAAACATTTAATGAGTGGTTAGACGCTCATCTGCATACTGTAGACTTCTACAGTATCAGTACCATTAGCAAACAACATACAGGTGCAGTCTTAACAAAGGCACACCAATGGCTTTCTACAACACACTGACAAAATAAGATGGATGGTTACCTGCGGTAGAGCCTGCATCACAGTGTCCAGCAATGCTCTCATTCCTTTAGCCATCTTCAAAAGCTTCAGCACTGTACACAGTAAGCACAATGTGAATTACACTCAGCAGTTCCCACTGCAATGTCGAATGCACTGCCCATTAATGATGATATAAAGAATTTTTTTGCTGACAGTTATGACAGAAGTGCTGGAGTACCTCTGGCTATTCTCAGAACCCTCATGATTCGGATGATGGTGGGGTTGATTGGAAGAGCAGCATTCATCTTGATCTCCTCTAGAGTGATACCCATGATGGAGAGAAGCACGATGGCCAAGTCCAACTGGTTCCACCTGCCATGAACAGCACAGCATTTTACAGCTATAGTTTGGAGTGAACAGTGTTTCAGCATATGCTCTACACTACATACTGTATTTCTGTTCTACACACTCTACAAAGGTTGTAACTACAGCAACATAAGGATGGCCACATCTGGCCATGTGCTATGGGCTAATGTGGGATTAAATGATAAATCCTTAATACATGATGCCTCATATAATTTAAACAAACGATTCATCTAACATTCGATTCATCACCCAACCAGAGACGTCACAATTTCATGCATTATGCCAAAGTAATAAAGACATGATTTAATCACACTGTTGTGTTAAATGATCATTAAGACAGTGTGTCCTGCACTTACACTAAAGATGTTTTCTGCTACTTTTCTTTCTTTTTGTATTACTTACATTTGAACCTGTCATTTTATATTGCACCCCAGCACAGTTTTGGAACAAAGAAAACAATAATGCAGTTCTCTGAATCAGCGTAGGCCCTTTTTTAATGCAGATATGAGGGCATGCATTGCCAGTAACACAGCATGATACTGCTTGGGTTTTTAATCCATTTTTACTTTTATCTGTTGAGCTTGTATATGGCCTGCAGAAGTTAAACTGTAAAACAATGCACTGCTGTAGTGTAGCTGAGAGCATAAGCCTTTACAATGCTGATTTTCTTCCTATGGGTGATGCAGTTATAAAGGAAAAGGCACAGAGGAGGAATAAGCTGACAAGATTCCCCACAGACCTCGCTTGAGTGACCTTTACAAAAACAGGATTAGAATAAGTGGGTTTAGGTTGGTAACGAGAATCGAAACCGTAGAGTCCTCATGATAATGTATAACATAATCGGAAAGACTCCCGGATGCACATTCAGCTGTCTAGAAGGCAATGGAGAGCCATACTGCATTCTATATATCTATATAGTTTTAACTCTTGATCTACCACCCTAGTTCATAGTGTTAGACAAAGCCAAAATTTTCAGATGTGTTCATTTCTTTAATGTCTGTCCATTCAGTCCCCCTATATTTGTACCCCATGTACCTTTATGTTTATTTATGTACCTTATTCTGATGTACAGTCAGGGTTGGGATATAATGGAATACATATATAGAGAATATATATTCAGAATACAACAACTAAATATCTGTATTCAGTCCAAGTTACATTTTGTAAAGACAGTATTCAGAGTAAAGTTAATTTTTATATTTTTAGGAGAATACTTTTAGAATACATCCACACTAAATACATACAATATTCAAAAGAAACACCATCAACGCTTATTGTTTATGAACTATTTTGGAATCAGTGTGCAACATATAGCAAGCATGCTTCTTAGATGAATACTAAAGAGGACCTCAATTAATGGTTTCTTTACAAACACTAAATTTCCTGCTGAAGCCTGAGTAGACTGATAAATCAATGTGATGATCAGTTATAATTTTCAGTGTTACTGAGATCTTTTAAAGAAATGGTCAAACAAATAATCTCCTCAGTGGTGAAGAAAACTGCCAACCAGTAACAGTATGAATTAAGCTACAGTAAAAAAAGTTTAGCATGTGCCTTACCAAAATGTACTGTAAATGTATTCTAAATATATTCTGAAAATGTTAGTTTTTTGTGTATTGTAATGGAATATATCACTATGTACCGTCAGCGTTCACAATTTTTTTCATTCCCAGTTTAAACAGATACTAAGTACGTAAGTTTTTTTCATTTTTCTGCTTCTCATGATAAGTAATTCCAAACACAGTCAGTAATTCTGGACTCTGGTGGTCAGTCCATAGTTCTGCAAACAACAGTAGCTTCCTTGTTTGATAAGTGTGTCTTGATCTTCCCAGCAGTGTGCTTGGGGTGGTTATTTTGCTGGAGAATGATTTTTCCCCCAATCAAACATTTTCCAATACTGCATGATGTATTAACATTTGTTTGTACTTATAAAACAAAGAACCAATTCTAGATGTTATACATCCACAAACATGCATTGATCCTCCATCATGCCTGAGTGATGGCTGTAGACACGGTTCGAAAAGTTTTTCATTGATTCGGCAGCATACATACTGTGTTCTGTTACTTCAAAAGATCTCAAATTTAGAGTCATCAGTCCATTAAAACCTTACGTCACATCTCAAATGTCCTGTACTGGTATTCTTGTGTAATTTTTCTTTTTTTTCTCTTTCCTTTTCACAGTAACAACATGACAGCTACACATCCTTTCAGACTCATAGTGTTGCATTCTCACAGTGGAAGGACAAAGAAAAACACTTGTGGATTTTTTCAGATCTGAACAAAGAGTAGAGCTTGATTTTTGATCTGTCTCATAGATGAAAGCTTTAAGTACTGTTTATCTGATAGTGGAAGTTTTGGTGGTCTACCAGGATAAAGGCAGTAGAGTAGACAAATTAAATACCAACAGATTTTATACTGGACTTTGTGTAATTTTCTTTTAAAAATGTATTTCCTGTTTTTTTTTTCTAATGCTGAAGGATGAATATCTTGCACCTATTGGCCAGTTTGACTTTAAAATTAAATCAATTAATGGTGATCTATGACTTTTGCACAATACTGTATTTATTTCTTTTTTGGTTTGTTTTTTTGTTGACATTTTAGAAGATCAACATATGAACAATGGGAAAAATTTCATTATTTGACATGCAGCATATTGCAGGCGTCTGCAGCCTTTGCTGCTGCTGTACCTGTCTTTGAAGAATCTTCGGACGCCAAAAGCCACGAGTTTGAGAAGAGCCTCTAAGATGAAGAAGATGGTGAAGACATAGTTGCAGTACTTCAAAGCTTCCTCAAGATACTGCAGGAAAAAAAATCAATTACTGTTTAATAACCACAATAACAAGTAATATGGACCAACAGTTTGTTCAGTCAGCAGAGCGGACTCACCAGGGGCTGATTGTAGTGCTCCATGGACATGGTGACTACATTGATGCAGATGATGAAGGTGATAAAAAGGTCCAGGTAGTGGTTGGAGCACAGTGTGTGGATGTAGAGGCGGGCTGGTGAGTAGTCTGCGTAGTAGGGTTTCTGATGTCTCTCTGTTCCACACACACACACACAAACACAGACACACACACAAATATGCAGACAGCATGTTCAGGTCAATGCCAAGTACATGCAGATAGCTAACTCAGTGAGAAACAGGCAAGAGACACTGAGGATGAGAGGAACATTGCAGCACAGAAGGACATTATTGCAATTTTGAAGGTAATACATTGTAGGTACTGTATAATCTGTGTAATTATAGGGTTAAAGCCTTAAAGCCCGTAAACCCGTCTGAACTTAGATGCCTCTCGTGCAGCATCGTGCCTCTATAAACATGCTGTATTGGGGAACATGCCTTTGTAAACATGACAATCTTTGGCTGTGTGTGTAAGTATACCCATAAGACTAACTGTGTCTGAATCTTACAAGTGACAGTGAACACAACATTTAGTATAGTTTGTGTCAAAAGAATACTCATTGACTGATTCATAGTGTTACCTTTTATCTTCTTCAAAAGACATCACTAATAAATTTGAGTTTTGTAATCAGACAAAATTTGAATCCATCTTTCTGAGTCTGCCATACAAAGCATGTTTACTGGTAACCAAAGCTTACCAAATGCCAAGAGAGAAGCCAAGAGCTATTCTGTACTTGACAAGATGCACATGCAGGTTCCATTTACAAGTTAACTAAAGAATTGAAACATATCCCCACCAGATACAAAACATGATTTAAGGCTGTTGAGACTAAAAAAAAATTCCTGTTGACAGAGATGAAATATGATGGCAGGGCAAATGATAAATCAGCTGCAGAATGAGGAGCAATTGGTGCCCAACTTCCTGTACATCCTGAGATCCTGTGCTGTGAGACAAAGCTGACAGCTGCTCATAAATCACTCATTCTTTCAGGGAAAGTTCTACCTTCTTTAAACTCTACTGATGTGCTGTCATAGTAATGCACCTGACTGCATTCCTGAGGCTAGTCGTGACTCCTGGTTGTCAAAATGCCAGCTGGAGAGCCAAAGGAACTTTCTCCACAGTGCCCACTAAAAGAGTGTTCTCAAGATAAGGGCAAAGGGCTCTGAGATGTAGGCGTCTCTTAGACCTCAGGAAGTAGTAAAATGAACACTATGATAAGATCAATGCTGCTGAAATTCTATGGTAACATAGCTATATGTGCTGATGGAGTCACAGATGCAGTACCACTAACCCACTGACTGAATTAATGGTCCATTGGAAGAGTGTAACGGAGGGGGTTAAAACTGTCAGCTTTTATTCCTCGATCATTAGTCAGGTAACTTTACCCTGGGATGCATGTGTGCTAATGCATAAGAACACGCATGAGCAACTTATTCCTTATTCATTGGGTCAGGTAAAACCGTGGCTGGTGCTTTTAGTTTTAAATTCTCATGGGAGTCTTTAATTCTCCAGGTTGGAATAACGCTGCTGGCGCTCTCTTTACACACAGTGATTAGGAGTCGCAGCCAGTAAGACATTTATAGAGCTAGTGGGAATCTCTCTTATCCTCCCCTGATCTCTCCAGCAAGGCAATGTGTTATGGCTCAGCTGAATGTTACACTAGCCTGAGTCCAAGTTAGGAAAAGACAAATGCTACAGCTTCCTCCTATTCATTGCTCTTAAAGTTAATAACCTATCAACCATAGAGTGTATTCACTGAATGAGGCCTTAACAGACCCTGTGAAGCAAATTTTCCCTGATGACCTGTCATGCAGTATTTGGTGGCGAAGGGGATGTCATGCAAAGGGCATGCTTCAGACCATCACAATCCAAGGCCATCACCAGATCAGTGCCAAAATCTACATGGACTTCAATGTCCTCAGACATTTATCTGACTTTTATTCTTTTTTTTTTTTGCTCTCTCTTTTGTTCTCTCTCTTTTTCTGTCTCAGGCTCTGGAGGCAGGCAGTGCTCAGAAAAACAGACTACCGACCAGACCCGCAATTCTCCTTACTCCTGCGCCTTTTCTCCAGCTGCCGCTGCCTCTTCTCTTCACGCAGGCGTGCCTCCTCCTCCTCTTGGTCCTGCCGGCATTTGTGGAAGTTCTCTACCACCACGCCCACGAACATGTTCAGCACAAAGAAGCTTACAATCAGCAGGAAAGAGATGAAGTAGAGGAGCATCCATGGGTTGTGGTTGCGCACCGGCTGCCAAAAGTAAGAGACAAAGAAATGACTTGTTATTAAACTTACCAAAACAGTGTGATTTAATTGTAAAAAATGTCTATGGATGACAAAAAAATCAAACCTGTTGGTCCACACCCACAGCATCCAGCCCATCATACATAATATTCACCCAGCCATCCTTACAAGACAGCACAAACAGCGACATGAGAGCCTGAGAAACAGAGATAAAAGGCCAATGAAATTATAGACACATCACCGATATCCTGGAAGTCTCATTGACTTCCTGGGATTGCATTAAATGCATTAGATCATTAAGTATCTAGTTTTCCATTATAAGTCTGAAATGGACTGAGCTAACATCCATTTAAACTCCCTGATGATTCTATGCCATTCAAGCATTATTAATGTAACATAACTTTTGTTTCAGTTTGACAGTCTGTATATTGAACTTGACATAACTTATTTTCCATGAACAACTCCTACCTGTCCCAAATTATCAAAGTTGTATTTCCTCCGAATCCATTTGTAGTTTGCTTGCAGGCAATCAGATTTGTTGGTGATGTTTCGTATGTCTAGGCCTTCACAATGGTCAAAACTTGCCCTTGAAAAGCTAAACATTATAATGAATGTTAAAACTTTAAAAAACTATATGGAAACAATTTGATAAAACTGTATGATTACAGTTATTAGAGATGCTTTATTAAAGTGGACGCCTCCATATGTCTTTACCTGAACTCCAAGAATGCCAAAGATGATGAAGAATGCACAGCATATCAGTACTATGTTCCCGATGGGTCTCAGAGAGGTTATCAGTGTTTCTACCACCAGCTTCAGTCCAGGAGCACGGCTGATCACCCTGTCCACACAAAAACAATCATAACATCTGTACTACCATATAGTTGTGTGTTACACTCATGGGACTGTTTTCCTGAATGATGCTAATAACTATGCTAAAAATATTGCAGGAGTGAGCAGCTAAAAGCATTATAAAAGTTTGTAATAGAAAAAAAGTTGTACTAGAAAAGCAACTTTAATAACTTTAATAAATGACTTTATTCCTTTTAACAGGCTTGCTGGGCAGAACATACTGTAAAACCTCGATGACCTCTCAGAATTAACCACTAATTGATCCCTGAACTGCAGCAACTATATTAAAATGAGAGTGAGCCCATCAACATGGTCCTGGCTTACTGACCTCAGAGGCCGCAGTGTCCTCAGCAGACGGAGAACCCTCAATATGCCCAAGATTCGGTTCCCACCACCGCTGGATGCTAGAGACACCAGGATGTCAATGAGTGAAACAAACACCAGCACTCCATCTAACACATTCCATGTGCTCTGCAGGTAGCTGTAGAAACCAAGGGCCACCACCTACAAGACCAGACATGGCATCTGAGTATAATTAAAACTGAGATCTTCTTTGGGATTCCTTTATGAGATAGAAGCTCATGTACCTTCACAGTCATTTCAGCAACAAAGATCACAGTGAATACATAATTGGAAATAGTGAGAAACCGTCGCTCCTGAAAACAAAACAAAACAAACAAAAAGAACAGTATTCATGAGCAGATATATTTAGTTACAGTATGACAAATAGCTGGTGCTGCTGGAGCTATTATGGAATCTAAATGACTAAGATTAAAGTGTTTCAGTAAGACAGGAGGTTCTTTTATCAGGAAGCTTGTATATTCATTATTTCCATAGGATTCAGAACAATGCAGAAGCTAAGCTTACTGTGCTTTGAACGTTAATATTTGGCCTCTCCAGAGCAATTGTGATACAGTTAAGGAAGATAAAAACCAAGACAACATGGTCAAACATTCTGTGCGAGATCAGTTGATGGCAGATCATCCGAAATCTACAAGACAGAAGCAGAAATCAGAAATCAAAACGAGAAATGTTTAGTATAAGAAGTATGTGTATTGTACAATGGGCCATGAGGATTACTCACCTGTTTTGAGGGGAGAACAGATATAGGGACCAGTCCTCATGATCCTTACACCACTGCGGTTTATAAGCATCCAGCATCCTCTTTAGACGGTAACAGATACTCTGCAGCACATGACCAGACCAGAAGGGCAGCTCAATAACTGCACAAATATCAGGGAATGTGTCTGCATATGCACAACATCAGCTGACTTTGACCTGCCTGACTGTAATGTTGAGAATTCTTGTCAGCTAACCAGAGACTGTAGGATATTTTGCACTGTTGAAAGTCATTATCCTGCAAATATAGGCAAGTTTGAATAGGGAGCCTGAGTGTTTCTTCCAGCACCTCCCTGTCACCAAGGGACCCTCTAATCTTATAATACAAAAAACAAGCTTCCTCTTCCTTTCTCATTTAGCACACAGATGCGGCTGACTGTTTTGTTTTTTTTTTCACATCTCATAACTCTCAAAACTCAACTCAACTCAATTTCAACATAGTGCCTCTTGTTTGCTGAGTTACCATCACACTGGCACCAGAGAGGTCACTTTCCACCCACCAAAAAAAACAATTACAGCCTGCAAAGTGCTCAGCTGAATCAATTACAGCAAGACAATTAGTGTCCTAGCAAGTCAAACCCCTGGGACAGCATCCTTTGAAAAAACATAAAGCACTGGCGTAGCCTAGTGGGAACATCTAGGCGTATATGGGGGTGTGTAGGAGTGTGTGTGTGTGTGTGTGTGTGTGTGTGTGTGTGTCTGTGTTGGTATGTGTCTCTGTGGCTTTGCTCACATCGTCCATATCCTCCTCTGTGGTGGAGTCCTCCCGACTCAGCTCGGAGGGAAGCTCTGTGGGCAGATGCAGTGCCCTTCCATTGCAGTCATGGTACTCTCCGGACGGGTACAGACTGGACCCTGGGGGCAGCTCAGGGAACTCCAGAGAACTGGGGTGCTGCAGAGATCCGCCGCTGGTGCTGCCTGCTCTTCCTGAAAGGTTGCCCTCTATATCCTCGTCCTCAAAGCTGCCTCTGCCGTCACCAGACAGAAGAGACTCTCTCTCACCAGATGTATCTTTCCTCTTCAGGCTTGGTGCTCTGCTGAGGCTGTTCCAGCTCGATCTCCGGCTGCCCCAGTTACTGCCTGAGCTCCGAGGGTGGCATGGCGATCTACGCGGGCTGGACTGAAGGGACAAGAGGAGAACATACGGAACATAATATGTACTCCAATCAATATTTTTCAACTGCTTGAGTTTCTACTTAATAATTCTAAAATAATGAATAAACTTGAGTAGAGTGCTGAGAAGAAGTGGAGTGTCTAATAAAAGTGTTTTACAGACAGTTTTTAGTTTGAAAAAAAGAACTCTTCAAGAAATTAAAAAGCCTATACTCTATAATTACTTTGTACAAAAGGTTAAAAGGCACCTCAACATGTTTCAGAATAGGCCTTCATTAAGGGGAGTCACTAATGATACCTTATACAACATAAGCTATTTAACTTCTTGACGAGTGCCATGGAAATTAATTTTTAAACTGGAAAATCAGTTTTCACTCTTTTGAACTCAGGAAAGGGACTTACCAGGGACCTCTGATCGTAGCCATTTGGGTCGATGGAGACCCCACTGCCACGCCTCGACTCCCCCAAACCGAAGACAGACTCTGGGCCAAGAGAGCTCTTTGGAGTGGGCATGGGGGTGGCAGCCGTGCGCATGATGATTGGTGGGGGCAAGTTACCACGGGAGTCCACATGCCCATTTGCTGACATCATCAGGGAGTACATCTTCAACTCTGTCAGTGATAATTACAAAAGGGCAATCAGATTAGGGAAACCAGGGAGTCATAAAATGGCAAAACGGACCCTGACATACTGTATACTGCAAAATAACGCCACAGCCCATTGGCTAAAGTAAATGGAAAGATTTGCCATGCGGGACCTACAGTAGTAAAACTAAATGACAGACAACATATAAAAGGCTATTCTCCTCCACGGATCCACAGACTGAGGCAGGTGAACGCCAATTTTGCAGCTCTAGAGGACCATAACTTTCTTTATGGGAGGCTATCACAGAGGCAGCCAGACTGAGCTCATCCATGCCTGAGTGGTGCTGTATGACGAGGCCACAAGGTAACACTTTCTATGAATGTCACCTTTGTAAGCATCTATAAACACATTCATAACATGTTATAATGCATTCATAAAGCATTATAAATATGGCTATAAATATTTACTAAAATGCATTACACGTTATAGCCATGCTTATTATGCATTATGAATTGTTAACATAATGCATTATAAGTACTGATCATAACAAATTATAAGAGCTCATAAGTTGTATTTGTCCACTCTAAGTGAAGTAAAGCAGTGTACACCACCGTTAGCTTGGTATTTGTCTTTACTTTATGCTCTCTAAGCTTGGACTGACTTCTTTGACACTGACAGTATAACATGTTATCAACACTACTTATAATACATTATATTAACAATTCATAATGTATAATAAACATGATTATAAAGTGTAATTCATTTTTATAAATGTTTATAATCATGTTCATAATGCCACATGAATGCATTATAACATGTTATAAACGTGTTTATAGATGCTTACAAAGGTGACATTCACAGAAAGTGTTACCGGCCACAGAATACATAAGCTGATGCATTCTACTCAGACAGCTAATTCTACTTTAATAAATGCATTGACTTTTTTTTCCTATGAGTTTATTATGAGTAAAAAGATCTGAACAGCAATAACCTCTGGCACGCAATTCTGCCATCTTCTCCTCTTCTTCAAAGTCAACTGACCTCTTCTCCTCGTCTGAGTCGGACTTGTTGGCATCTCCCTGCAAGGCACAGGAGGCATTTTAAAGACCCGGCTCTCTATGGGGGCCAGCAATTGGGAGTGGGCAGCAGACAGTGTTTCAATAACTGTCCTACTCGGAGTGCAGCTGTAAGTCAAGCCACCAGGTTGAGACACTGAGCACAAACAGCAGTCTGTCTCTCTTTCTCTGAGGACTAGGCCCTGTGGCATCAACACAATCAGCCTTCCACTGAGCCTGAACCTACTCTGCATGTACACAGCTGAGGCCTCAACTCCCAGTGAGAGCGGTGTGGTGCTAGTGTTAGTGGCTTTACACAAACAAACTGGTGACCTGTTTGTGGTTCACACAGCCTGCAGCGTGCCAGATGGGCCCAACAAAGGAGCACTGCATCAGAAACACAGCAGAAGACCCAGGCACTCCATAGTGTGAAACAGAACCATTTAGTATGTGCATAAATAATCTGCCACTGATTACATGCATCACTAAAGGAGGCAGTTAACAATCTCTTTATTGTCCCTAGGCAGAAAGGCAGTTGATAGTTGGGACTTTGGTTGCTTAACACAAAACAGGACCCTGATAAGCACTCAACGATGTGTCACCGTACCTCTGCTTGGAAGGCCTCAACCAGGATGGCCACCAGCAAATTAAAGAGAACATAATTCCCAAACGTCATCAGGGCTACAAAGTAAAGTGCAGCCAGTGGAGAGGTGGAAGCCATTCCGTTATAGAGGACCACATTCCAGTCCTCCTGAGTAAGTATCTGCAATAAAAACACAATGTCAGACCACAATGTACAGCTGAGACAGACAGCATCATAACACAACTGATGATACATATATATATATATATATACGTATATATGTCATCAATGCCCAAAGAAAAACAAGTGGCAACTTTACAAAAGAGGGCAAAACGTTCTAGTTAATGTAAAGAGATTTTATTCATTTAATTTTATTCATTTATTCATAACGAAATTTTCACATAATATATAGTTATTCACATGTTATTATTTTTTGAGTACCAGTAAAAGGAAAATTACAAAACAACAGATTACAGGTGTGCGTGTGGGGCACGCCCCGACCCCCCCAGCAAGCTCAGATTTCTGACCTCCATATTTCTAAAACCCTGTGTACGGCCATGCTTGAGTTTTCTCTACGTTTTTTAATCATTTTTGATCCATTCCACTTTTTTCACATTCCTTTTGTTCTGCAACTGGATAATCTTGTATATAATGTCCTCAAAGATATATCCTGAAAAATTAATCACTTATATCCGATGGCTGTTTTGACTGAAAATAAAAATAAATGAAGGGTGGTCTTTCATTTTTGCACAGTACTGTAAGTTTAAATTATAGCAGAACAATGAATATGCACTTGTTGTCTAGCCCAACTAAAGGACAGTGATGACACAAACACTTCAGAGAAATAGTTCTTTTTTTTCATGCATGTCTTAGAGGTCTTGGCTGTATCAATCTAGCTATTATGCCTGTTTGCTGCATAACAAAAGATCTGTAAACGTTTTCAATAGCAGAGATGCCACTACATGTGCACAGTATGGGCAAATACAATGCATGTTCAGCACCTTAGCAGCAACTGAGAAAATTGTGCTGATGCAACAAACAGTATAAGCAAATCTTTTCAGAGCATTAAAAATAATCGCTCTCCTTGGTGCTGCTCTAGAAACGATAATAGAGGGCAGACCCTGCTATTTCAAAACGACAGTTGTTAAGGAAGCAAAGCCTTTTTTGGCCCTGGTAGACGTAAAAATAACCAGAGCATGCATCTCAGATGTTGGTATCTTTTCAGGCCTAAAACCTACTCAAACAGCGGCTCCCTACAGACAGACTGTTAAATCACAAAGGGATGCTTTATGCTATACACTTGCTTGTACCTCAGTAATAATGTATGCCTCGACCTCCACAAAGCTATTAGAAACTGAGGACTAGTATCTGACAACCTAGCTCTAACCTGAAACACAGTGACGATGGCCCACAGCAGGGAATCAAAGTTCTTCCTGTCTGGAATAGTGTCTCCATTCTCCATCTTCAGGCTGAATTTGCACCCAAACAAATGCATTCCAAGAATACTGTGGGAAAACAGAAGATAAGCTTAAGTTATAATTTGTAATTTTATTTCTAATATATTAGTAATATATTACCAAAATATAGTTTGAAAAACGAGAGATGATGCACTTGTGTGTTAGGGGTGGGCAATATGGCAAAAAATTTAATTATGATAAATATAAGTCTACCTTTGAGACATTTTTACAATACATGAGATGCATCATGATATCGAGTTTTTCCAAGGTTTGACAAGTTGGTACACACAAAACACACCAAAACAAAACAGTCAAATTTAAAAACACTATGAAAAACTCAGTGCAATGCAATGATTTTTATTCAACGATTCACATACTGCACTGCTCTAAATCCAATTCAATTGTCCTAATTATGCTCTTTTTGTAACAAAATGTGTAATTGGTTGGTGTTAAAAAGCATCCTGTGATGTAATGTAATTTATCACAATAATGCAAAATATCATCATATTGCCCAACCCTATGTGAAGTAATATCACCTTTGGTCAAGCTGTTTTACTACCTTTTTCCACTAAGTGTAATTTCAATTGCAAAATCCACTTCAGAAACTAGATGAGATTTGATGGCATAATAGTTAACACTTATATAAAGCTGGTAATTCCTTTAGGAACATACTATATAATTTATGTATTTATTGAAATATAGATATAAAACCTTAAAAAGTGGTGATTTTAAACTGAATTTACTGTAGAAGCAGTCACAATCTATTTTCCTCTTGTCCCAGACAGAACGCTCTGGAGGATGTCTAAAGTGGCAGCAGTTTACTTTGGTTCCTCTAATTGATGATTCACCAAACTGTATAAATTGAGTGCAGTACGTAAGTGGCCTGCTGGGCCTTCTTGACACCTGAAAGTGAAGATGAAGAGCATGAGCAGCATGCAGAATGTGGCCACGTTGTCCATTGACTTCATCAGGACCACCAGCTGTCTGCGCAGAGCCGGTAGGAAGCGCACCAGCTTAAGCACTCGCAACAGACGAAAGGTCCTGAGCACGGAGAGCCCACCATCAGCCTGCCCAATGATCTCCCACACGCTAGCAAGGACATATACACAAAAGAGTCAGTAAGATCAGTACACTCACTCAACAAATCACACAAATATGCATGGTGCCAGTAGGGACTGAAAACTGATTTATATAGTCATATGATCAATGTTAGCACACAAAGGTCTTAATCAAGATGTGGGCTTCATTATGACATTACAAAAAGCAAAACTCTGAGTTGATGAAACAGGATACGAAAGCTTACGGCAGTGCAGTAAGATAGTAAGTAAGTAGTAAAATCATTTACCTTATCACTACAATGATCCCATCAAAGATGTTATATGGGTTCTTGATATATCCATAGAGGCCAAAGGCCACCAGCTTGAAGACCATCTCGAGGACAAACATGCTGGTGAAGACGATATTGCTGATCTCCAGGATGTCTGTCAGTTCAGCAGGCTGTGGAAGGGAACACAGAGCCACACTTCATTAGGCCAGTGTATGGTGCTTAAGTTTGTTCCTTGGAGAGGATGCATTTTTTAATATTTGTTTTCACTCCGAAAATCAACAAAAGAATAATTTTGTTTCTGCGCTTTTGTTTCTAGCAAAATACTGTTCATTTCTGATTTGTCTTTTCGGTTTTCATCTTCATTCCTCAAATCAGTTTGGAGTCCTGAATATAATGGCACAAAGGTAGTGCTACTACTAATGGTTGCCTATATAAATTCTAATACAAACAGTAAAATCCAGTATTGTTGAAATAATGGCTGATCTGTCAAATCAAAATGGTCTAAAGTCATTCACTCTTTTCATTGAGAGCTGAGCAATGCTGCATAAGAAAATCAATGAAACAGTACTCCTAAAATCTATCCATCATGAGCTGTTTCTGGGCTAGATAATTTGGCCCCCTAGCATTTGCTGATGCAGACAGTACCAGCACTCTGTGAGGAGCAAGAGAAATCACTACACTCAAGGTCTCCAGTGCAAATCAATAAACAAATTCTACAGGAGCCATCAAGCCAAAGACCTCCACTGCCTCTCTGCTGGTCATTTAGAGTGCAGTCAACCTAAGAGCTCACCTGGATACTGCTCACATTACAGCAGATCAAATACACCAAGCAGTTAAGTGACCAGCTTCTTATAGAGGAGGGAAGAGAGCTCAGAGTTTAGAAGCTGAACAGAAATCTTCTGTTATCTAACTAGTTTTATCTACCTGGCATAGACCATAGTAAAGGGAAATGACTTTCAAATGAAATTGTGGTCTAGGTCTCTTATACTTCCAAATACTCAAATCAAAATAGTTATAACAGTTAATTCGATCCACATTATTTGAATCATTTCAGTAAATTAAATTCAGCTTTATTCATTATTCATTTACACAACCTAAACTTTACTAAGAAAGCCGTTTAAATATGACTGTATGTACTCAAGTCGATACAGAAGACATGCATGATTCTTACATAGAGTCTAATGTCTAAAAGGCCTCTGACATGTATGGAGTGAGGTCCAAAAGTACCAATAGTTCTGTTAACCTAAGATCTTAAATGTTATTTTAAAATTTTGTAAAACTATTGTTATTGTAAAAATGACCTCTAGAAACGTTCAAACATAATATCTCTTGAAATTATCTAAATGTGCCAGTGTATTATAGCACAAACTCAATTCCAAAAAATTGGGACAGATAGTTGATGTAACACAGTGGTAAACATGCCCCAACCTTTTTGGAACGTGTTGTAGGAATGAGTATAACTTTACAAAAAAATTCATCAGGTAAAACATCAAATATCATGTATTTCCACTGTTTCTATTTAATACAGGTCAAACAGAATTTGCTTATCACTGCTTGCCATTTTTATTGGCATTTCACAACTTTTTTGGAATTGGGTTTATATAATAAAATCTGAAAACAATAGCTAGGAATGTAGAGAGGAAATGCTAGAATAATTTTGTACAGCATCTCATGCAAACTTCTAAAATCATAAATTGCAAAACTTATGTTTGAAAAAATATGTTTGAGAACAAAATGCTAGAAAAGGAGCGAGGAGAGGCTAGGTGACTTCTCTAGAACATCCCATACGCATTGTAAGCAAAGCAAACAAACTGCCTCACAAGGCTTCTTAAATGGCCCCTCAAAACACATCATAAATAAGTTTCTTTGGTTTAAAAGTAGGTAGAATTATTTTTGGCTCTGTGCAATTTTTCACTCTGAAATGCCTCATGAAGGTCAGTTAAATCAGTATTTGTCTGGATCAGACAAGCACAGCCTCATTAATCAGGGCACTGTGAATTATCATTCAGTGCAGACACCATCTTTAAATGTCAAGATGTTTTGAGATCTCTTTAAAGCACACTAACTCCAAAATAGCCTTGGTCTATGGGCTCATTTGTGATAAAAAAAAAAAAAAACTGTATCAATTGAGGTCAGAGGTGGATAAAGCCATTTTGTGGCTCCTCTTAAGATTTTATATACCTTATATAAAAATTGATGAGAGCATAACTAGGGCTGCATTATTCTTGAATAAATGGAATCACGATTTTCTGGCTAGGAAGTGAGATCAAAATTTTCACTGTTGTAAAGAACAATATGAATATTTTCTAAATTCTTACACTGCAAAATGCAGTTAAGATCAATGCAAACAGCTATTATAAACACATAAACAAATGTACACATGAACTGCATTATGAAGTATAATTTCAATAAAATACAAACAAAATAATCACAAAAATTCTGTTTGTAATACAGACCAAACAGAAACCAACTGCTCGATCTGCGCTTTGACCTACAGATCAACTGCAACCTATGGGGGACCTTACATTAGGATGCACACATAGAAAGTTGGCGTTTAAAGCAGCTGACGGTTATGCTGTTGCACTAAAATTATAGCACAAATGTGTCTAATGCAAGCTTGCATTAAGTATAAGGCAAAGCTTCTGGTACTGTTAATATTTCTCTAAGTTTGTCGATCCTGAGAGCTAATCAGTGATGTAAAAAATATGAGCCATATCTAAGGATTGCTGCAGCCCTGCGCAACGTTCCTTGGTCACAGGACCCTGCAGTTTCTTGTTCAAACACTAGATGGAAATACAGACCTTTTGACTTTTGACTACAGGACTGAAGCCAAGTTTACACACAGTCCAATTTTTTCGAACAAAAAAACACGTCAAGTTTTGAAAATGAACACACAAATACTAATGCTGTCTTTCATACCGACTCCAAAACCAATGCTGCATAAATCTTTAAAGCGTAGCATGCTCTATTTCCTGCATTGTGCGGATGCATTAAAATCTGATCTACACTGTCATGGTTGCAGCCCAAAGAAACGTGCATCAGTAAGCAAACGCTTACTAAAAAATGCTGAGGTTAAAAAAAATAAAAAGTGGATGAGAGATGAAAGGCTATAAATGACTGAGTATGTTACAATGACTGTATTTACGTACAGTAAGTGTATGCACTGTTTAGTTGCAGTGCTTAAAAGAAAAAGAATGTTTAGACAGAAAAACGCTTCGGACTTGGTGTAAAGATCCCACTACTTTAAAATTGTATCCGTTTTTTTACACTTGGTGTAAATAGGCCTTAACAGTCCAGTTCCGCCCTCGATCAGTATCTAGGCTATTGGCTGAAAAGCGAAAGGCGATTGGCATCGGCCCAAAAAACACTGATTGGCCCATCTCTATATATCCCTGTGAAATCCCTGGCCTGATCAGTTTAACATCCACAGAGACATCTGTACTACCCACTCATTACATCACAGCATATCCATCAGTTTTTTTGTTGTTGTTGTTGTCACTGCTTAGCAGCCAATCAGAGGATTAAATACACCATCCAGCAGATCCAACTGAAGAAGGGATTTAGCTTTTGATACACTCTCACATCAATGCGGATTCAATTTGAAAACGTGACTGCAGATATAGTGGTTGCAGTTCAGAAGCTACTAGCAACTAGCAAAAAAATGAAAACTTCAATTGAAACTTCAAAACATTTGACAACAGAAAAATCAGACTTTCTTCAAGACGTTTACTGAAATACAATAAATGCTTTTGAGAGCAGTAATGACGAGGCCTGAAACACTTAAATGTCTGGACTATGATTTGGCTCTTTACAGCTAGACATAAATACATAAAAATGCCCAGACATAAAAAATGCCTACTGACAGCACTGAGAAAAATTCACAACAGAGGCTTCCAGTGACTTTTATAAGTTGTTGACTGTTTGGATTATTCATTCAGATAGTTTTCCATATATTTGTGTTACAACTGTTTTTATGCATTTGCACATTATTTTCGTCTTCAACTTTGAAAATTTGTGTTAATAACTGGTATTACTGAAAAGCTGAGTTTGTGCTGAACCAGTGCATACAGATCACTATACGATAGTGTTGTATATCACCAAGTTACAGTCAAAAATATAAAATAGGCTCAGCCAGCTATTTTTAGGTTAAACAAGACCACTCACTGTTTGCAAATGAAAGAAAACTCACCAAGTGAGTAATATTCTTCATTCTTACAATCAGTTTCCACAATAACCTTCTCCTCCATTAGCATTTTGAAGCCAGTTTAAAAGCAGAAGCAATGTGGCAAGAGCAGCAAGCCTGTACCCCTCCCAATCATGGTGTCAAAGACAATCTACAGTCTACAAAAGACCCAAAAGCAGAGTTGGCAACGCTGCACAAAGAAACATTATCGTCTCATAATAAACTAAGCTAATATTCGATAGTTCACCCGTTCCTACTCTATCTTTTGAAATTACATGAACATGGTTGAAGCAATCGGCCAAAAAGTTAACATCTTAAAGATTCGACCTTGTTTTTTAACCGGTTTTTGTGAAGCCCCCTCTGCTTTCAAGGGCCTGGGCAGCAGCACACACAGTTAATCTGACTGTTTTTGAGGTCAACGGTAAACATAATTTTAAAAATGAAAAATATGTATGTAGTCAAGCTTTAAGTGTCTTTGATATTTTTATTAATGAAAAATGTAACATATATATAATGTATAAAAAATATAATTTATTATATTACATTATATGATGAAAAACAATACACTGTCATATGCAAAAGTTTGAACACCCTTGGTCAAATAACAGGTCAACACACCCTCTACAGGGAACAAGCTTACATATGGCATTTTGATTCACCATTTATATTTATTAGCTGAATCAACATATCAGACAAAATGAAACCTAAAATAAATAAGGTTAACATAAATAAAATTTGTCCAGGCCACATACGATACATTTTTTGCAAAATTTATATTTTGCAAATATACAGTAACTGTGCATTAAAATGTGCAAAACTGTGTTCTCTGTAGATGATGCTTTAACTTATTTCTACTTAGAAAGTCAACAAAACGTGTAATTTGATTAGAGGCTCCCAAACTTTTGCATTCAACTGTACATATGATACATATATTTAGAGGAGGACTAGTTTTCAACTGAGCTGATTGTGTGTTGAATAATATTAGGATATTACTCCAGCAAATTCAACAAGTGAGTGTGGTTCTCTATCCTAAGACACAATATTGACACAATTTTTATTACATGAAAGATGTATCTTTTTTTCACATAATCTGTGGAATAGTGTGATGCATTCTAAACATACTGTCAGGGCACCATTTTTAAAGGACTGTTACTGTCCTTTTTAGTTTTTTAATCTGCATTGTTCTCCTTCTTACAATACCAAAAAGAGCCTTATCTCTCCCTCCTCCATCTCTGACAAACACCAAACTTTAATCATTGTACAGCACACACAAATCGAAGCCCATTCTAAACTTCCTCTAATTGGCCTGCCCCGGCAGAGTACGGAGCTGTGAAGTCCCACTGCTGCTGCATCAGGCACATTTGCTGCACAGGAGGGGATGAGCTATTGAAAAACAATGGTGGCGAAAATGTCCCAAAGCTCTCAGTGCCAACAGTGGAGTGGAGAGGGGAGATGAGGAGGGGGGAATAGAGGAAAGGGGAGGGAAGGGGAGAAGGGGGAGGTAATGTGAGACGACCCTTCTGTGGGAGTGCTCCAGAGGGAATCAGCCACAGCTCTCTCCTCTCTCTCCCTCCACCACACTCCACCACACTCCACAGAGCCTATGGGCCCTTCAGTACTCACTGTACATTTCACCCACTTTCTTTATGCCTCGGTGAGTGGAGCCGGGCAAAACAAACCACAAATCACCACAGGAGCAGGGGATGAAAAATAATAAGCCATTTGCTGCTATAAATTGCTGCAGTGCTGCACATTAATGGGGCTCCCCATTATCTACAGAAAGGTACAAAACGTGCACTGATGTAAAACTACTGTGTCCACCACGGCATGAGTGTACATTATGCAGTGGTGTCCATAAGAGCAGCCATAAAGTGATATCTGACAGAGATGTGTTGCTGTAACTGGCTGGACTAAGATAAGCCAAAAGAGATGATGTGTATTCTGTTGTACGCTGGTCTCTCTTCACTGTTTTTGGTGCTCATAAAGCTCACAAAGAACCTTCCTGACATTTGGCAGCCAGGACGACCACAGTCATAGTTATTCTATTACGCCCATATCCATCAGTGATCAGCACAGCCAATTCCCCTGCCTCGCTCACTGTGCAAACAAACAAGGCATTCATTATCAAGCTGTGATGACTGTTAGCCCACTGGTTCAGTGCACATTCTAGTAATCGAATGCGTGGATTTCCAGCTTTAAGGGGCCAAGCGTCTGTAGTGTGACGTTGATTGATCCACCTGCCGGCGCTGTGTAAATACGATTAGCCGACTGATTGACTTCAGAACACTGGGACTGTGCCGAGTGGCCGTCCTCTCACCCACCCTTGTAGAGAGCAGAGGAGAGGCCGATAGAGATCAATCCTCCTCAAATGACTGCTACAGATACTATCCTGTAGAAACTGTGAAAACAGTCTGCCACAGGGGAACCTTCATTCAGTTGAATTCAGTATCTGAAGAAGAATTACAGCTACCTCTGTAAATGTAATGTATGTGATCACAAGGGAGTTGTATTGTACTACAATGTGTGACAGCACTAAACAGAAGGTGGGGTAGGCGATACAGCAAAAATATTATATCACAATACTTACACAATACATAATATGTAAACATGTATCACAATAGTATAGCATGCAGACAAAATAAATTAGTGGTGCGAGGTTTTTAAAACTGCTATTAAAAACATTGCATCCAATTAAACAGAATTAATTATGCTTTTTGAAATTACATATTTGGTCAGTGTTCCTTATGTACTGAAGATATCCACAATTTGCTCAGAAAAGCATATTGTTTATCGCAATAGCAGAAACAGACTCAGGATAACAATAAAGTATATGTGAGTAATATATTGACCTGTAACTTTTAGGTAGAGGACAAACTAATGACTTGGTCCCAGTGTCCCAAAAGCATCATAGTGTTGAGATCATCTTAACTGGTAGAGAGATTATTTAGTGTGATGCTCACTCATTTAAAAATCATCTTTATGCTAAAATGCTTTTAGGAAATACAGCCCAGCTCAGCTGATATTTTTGAGAATTGCTATGTATAGTATGCTAGCAGTTTATAGCTTGAAATAATACAAAATTCAGTTTGTATAGAATTCTTATCTTTTATATTTCTATATTGTACAATCCCTGTACATAATTAAAACAGCAGAAGCATCAGTATTGCACTAGTACAAACTTCAAGAAAGTTGTAGAGCATTTTGGACTGATGGGGGAAACAATTGAGCAACTATCCACTCAAAACCCCTTTCTAACAGTTAATAGCTAATAGCTGTGCTGAAATTGTCTATGTAATGTTTATTTAATTTGTAAATGACACGCAAGACATGTGACTCTGAAAAGGTTCATTCAATTTTAAACTGATATTTGATGACATATGTACTGTACTCCGCAAGAGCAGAACATTTAAGCCAGCAGTATACTTCAAAGAATGAAAGAACTGGAGAAATTGAACTACAGATTAACACGTTATGCAAAATATACTTAAAAGAACTTGGTGTACGCCTTTCTGACACTCACCGCCACTACAGGCTCTGTATAGTGACGAAGACAACTATGTGACATCACAAAGTCAAATGATCGCATTGTTTTGGCCACATAGTTGTCATTTTGCTTCAAAACATCTTTTTCGCAGTATTGCATCGCTAAAAATGTTTTTTAAAGAATCAAACATCGTTCTTCTATGGCATTGTGCAAGGACCTTTCTTTGCACCTTTATTTCTTATATGTATGTCACCTAACTCTGCAAATGCTTGGAACTTTATGTAATAGTGGGGGAGAGAATTCAAAAGTAACTTGATCTCCAGTTGTGGGAAGCCTGTCTGAAGCCTGATGGCTAAACTCTTTGCTTGCCTTTTTCCCAAATCTACTTAAGATATAACTCCATATAAAGAAGCAAAATCATGTCCAGCAGCGCTCAGGAGAATACAGTGTACATACAAAACTCATTCATTTTAGGCAAAGCATAAAGTTATAGACGACAACCTTGGTTTCCATTCCAACACTCCACATCAGGGTATTTTTTGGAGTTCACTTTAGGTTTAAACAGCTTTCTTAACACATAGAACTAGCATACTGCAGTTGTGACAGCAATATACTAACAGAGCAATAAAATGACCTCAAGCTATGATTGTGTCCTTTTGCTCCATGAAATGATTCATAGGGTCTAGTACAGATTTAAAACAGCAGGGTACACTCAGGGTACAGAAGATGACAATGAACAAGGGGCTTTGCTTTATAGTATGTTATTATGTCCTGACAGTTATTATATTGCAGACTTCTACAGAGCAAAAACATAACTCAGTAACATCCCTCTTTAGAGGAGGTGTAAATTCTACCTACAGTTTAAGTAAGCTTTTTTATGCCCAACACAGAGCAAAATCCTAGTTTTAGCTTCAAAATGCCAACAAATTAATCCCATATTTAGTTTATGACTCTTGTTTAATGTCGCTAATTTGGATACTGAACACAGAGCTTGAAAAAGCTGCAGACAGGGCTGGTTTCCCAGACGTGGATTAAGCCAGGTCCTGGACTAAATTGCAATGCCAATTGTGAATCACTATTGGAAATGCTATTTAATCTAGGTTTAGGCTTAATCTGGGTCTGAGAAACTGGCCCACTGGGTATTTACAACTTTTTTCATCTTCTTAAAAGAAGAATGTGCTGTTTCAGACATTCTTCAACAATAAATGACCTAAGCATTAGCAATCCCATCACAAACAGGTCATATTTTATCAGCCATTATCAAAGTTAAAAGGGGTTATAAGGCAAAAAGGGGTTGTACACACAGCTTTTTTCTGCAGACTGATCGCTAAATTATGCAGCAGGATCTATGTGTATATTTATCACCAATGTAAACGATGTCAGTGTTAGCCACGCTCCGCTTGCTCAGCCTGCAGTGTTACACAGCAACTTACATTAAACATGGGCTGACTTGTCAAATCCATAACAATAATTCACAATCAAAAAAGGCTGTTCATGATATTTTTAGGAACACCTGCTCCAAATATCACTGGAGTATAACAAAATGTCAGCATCGTTCAGTCTACTCTATCCGTTCCTTGATGTGTGCCATTTTTCTGTGCTAACCTCTCCACACTGTAACGGCTGCAGCAAATGGCAAACTGTAACTAGGTTATGGGATGCTCAACATCCGCACAAGTATGTCCCCATGAGATCTTGATCAGATCAGATGAATCTCAACCCACAGGCTTCTGCCCAATATTACAAGTAAAGAGATCCCCACTCCACAGTAGCAAGTCCAGGGCACAGCAAGAGGAGGTGCAGTGCAGCACTGCGCATAGTTACATAACCACAGAGTCTGTTAGCCCAATAAGGCCATGAATCCCTCTGCACTGTTTATGAATGAAAAAGAAATAACTAGATAATCCCTTTGTGTACACCAGTCAGATACTGTACTTCTGAGGAGTATATTGCTCAGCCCTTGATAAAAAACAGACACAGGCCACATGGTTCCACTTCGCTCCTGAAGAAAATGGTCTTTGTTCCCTCAACTGGCTTTTTTGCCCCCCTTTCCCCAACAATCGCTGCTAAAGTAATCTGACTGCTATCTCAGGCTCTTACTTTGACAATAGCAGATGTAAAACAGACGAGTGTAGCGTCTGTAAAATGCAGCTTGGGATCACTCATGAAGGATTCCAGAGCGGTGACCACCGGCAAGCAGGAAGAAGCTGAAGGAGAGTATTGATGGGACTTACCTGCTCGTGGTGCTCGATTCCCATGCTCAAGGTGTTGATGAGGATGGCAATCATAATCCCCCTATTGAAGTACTTGCTATCCACTATGCGTTTCATCCTGTCCCTGAAGTCCTCCCAGTAACGAGTCATGCGGCTGCGCTCCTGAAACCTCTTGTGGTGGCGCGAATGGACTGGTTTGAATTCTGCTCCGTGAGAGAACTCATGCACCACCTCCCCCTCGGACCGGGAGCACTCAGACTCAGCCAGCTCCAGGTCCATGGTCTCCAGTGCCCGGGCACAGTATGGGCAGCCCAGCACCTCGAAGAGCAGCGATGTGGGCACCACACCCGTCATCTGCAGCAGCAAGCGGCCATGACCTGCAGAAAGAACAGTACTCTCCTTCAACAGTTGAAGCTCATAAAGAATCTCATAAATCCTTCTAAGATAACTACACATCTATTTCGGGAAATCTAGGGCCATTATAAACACGGCTTATTTAGGAAACTGGACACATTTGCAAATGTCAGGTTTGTATTTCAATAGCATGCTCGCACCATTACTGATGTGCTTGGATAGCTGTCTTGTTTACAACTGTTTTGATTTCATTACTTTCTCATGGATTGTGAGTACCGTTCCCGGAGACAACAAAATTGGTGAGTTCTCACTCCAACTCTCCTGTGATTCAATCATCTACCCCATAAAGTCCATTTGGCTTATGCCACAAATGTCTTCAAATGATTCATAATCACATGGCATCACAACCAACATCAGGTGCATTTTAAAGCTATCTGTTCACGGAAATACATAAGTGTTAATTATGGTCAAATTAAGCCAATTAAAAACAGTTCACACAGTTTACACACTGGACCCTCCAGGCACCGAGTCTGGCAACCAAGCACAGATGATCAGTGATGAAGAACACAACCCTGGAAGCGGTACTCTATTCCTTTTCCTGTCCCTCTGTTTAATGCCTTTCATCTCATGGCCTCATAATAAAACTACCACTTAATTTGAAAATCCTGGAGTCTGCGCTTTTCTTCATTTTAATGTTGTTGGGGAAGACTTAATCATACAGCACCGCCCTCTTGAGTTGAAGTGGAGGTGATTCGTGCAGTCAGGGCTATAAGTAGAAATCACTGCTGATAGAGGCACTGAATTTGAGGTATAAAAATTCTGTTATTAGACAAGAGATTAAATGGGTGCTGACAAGCTCCATATTGCAAATCTGCAGACCGAGAGCATAAAAGAATAAATCAAACTACTACTCTCAAACTACTCTTATGGGAGCAAATGTGTTGAACCATGCTAAGCTACAGAAACCTAAATCTTTAACTTCTTTAACTTTAACTAACAATAATGAAACACCCCATAATGACAGAGCATGTTTCATGAATAAGCTTATCCTTCTAAGTAAGAATGAACTGCTGTTCCTAGCCTGTAAAAATCTTCAGGACTAACATATCACTCACTTCCAGCTCTCACTATCTACACTTACTGAAGCCTCAACCATCTAAGGATCGTGTTAATGACTTTAACATTTGAGGCATAGATTTTCTGTCACATCTGTAAACCACTGCCTTACAGTCTCTTTGACTGTGAGCTATGTGCTCCTGCTACGTGAACTGGACTTGGACCATGAAGTTGGCATGAAAAGAGCTCTTACTGTGGTCTCCTGTGAGCTGCTGAAGTTTTTCAAATGGATCTGACACATCTGCCGTGCCGTTGTTGGGCTCGCCCCTCCCTTTGGCTGTGGGGTTTCTGCCTGTGTAGCTGCAGATGAAGGATGGCAAAATGGTAGGATAGTTCATGCCCCCATTAAGCCTCCCTAGTGGAGTCACACCAGCTGCGGTGCCTGTGCAAACCTGCGGGGCCTCATGAAAGTCACCTTGAAAGATGCTGTGCACTGACTGGGCTACTGGTGAAAGATCCTGCCCAGTGGTTAGCTGTGAGGGAAATGCTAGCTGTGGCCCTGGTGTGATGAACCTCATCTCCAGAGCCTCGCTGCTTCCTGCAGTGGCCTGTGGGCTGGGGAGGCCATTGCTAAGGTGACAGTGGTGGTGCTGGTGGTGCTGGATGAGGTTACGAATGGAACGCGCCCAGTGGCCACTGCTTCTCTGCCTGCTGTGCCCATTTGCCCCCCCTGGGCCTGCGCCTCCTCCCCCTCCGGGAAGGCCACTGTTGGGGTTGATTTTCTTCCGGCGCTTGCTCTGCCAGCCGTGGTATACGCGCGACACACGGCGCTTCACCTTCCGGTACAGGTGGCTGATGTACCTGAGCATCTCCTCATAGCAGCTGCCAGGCTCCGAGTAGCTGGCCAGCGTGCTGTCATTGGACTGGTAGCATACACGCTGGTCCTTCATCAGCTTGTTCACCCGCTGCTTCGTCTCAGAGAACTGGGTTGCAATTACAACCAGGCACAGGTTGATCATGAAGAAAGAGCCCACCTGGGAAGGATACACAACACATTTTCTTTCACTGCCTTGAGCTACAGTGCATAGCAAGCAGTTCTTAAAGTACATGCATCAATACAAACATAGCATAAGGGACTGGAAAGAAGCATACTTACTATGATGAGCAATATAAAATATATAAAATTGTAAAAGGAGTGGGCATCCATAACGTAATACATGATGTCCACCCATCCTTCCAAAGTGATAACCTGTAAAAAGAATACAAGAAAAGATTCAGATATTGAATCATGATGGGGAGTAATAGATAATCTGCTGCCAGGAATGGGTGCATTTGATTTATACTTTATATTTCTTGTAATGCTGTCATTAACAGAAGAGCAGTGATCACTATGTGAGCACAGATGCATTCTCTTCTCATGGCTGTATGTGTTCTCTTTTCTGACTACCTAATCCACACACAGCTGCCACCTCAAACACCACTCCATGTTTTGGAGAAGATTATCTGGGGACTAAAAAGCCTGGCAAGTCTTTCATGTTGTTTACCTCTGGGTTTTTCAGATGAGAATATGATAGGAAACAAACATAAAAGGACAGAAGCTCTGAGGTGGAATGCTGATAATATAAAGGCGGAGATACTGAGATATAAAAGCATCTAACTTTAGTTAGACATTTAGTTAGACACAGGTTCAAGACCACTAGTGGAGAACAAAAGCTTCAAAACAATTTTGCACCATGTTTTTTGCTGAACATGGTATTCTGTTCATGACATGTTTTTATTAGGAATGCACAATGATATCAGTATCACATCAGTATCATCAGATAAGTGCTTTAAAAAAATCAGCATCAGATAGCTGTTTAGATTTGGCTAATATTACAAATCTATATATGAGGACATATTTTTTGCAATCTGGAAGTGAAGGGCATTTAGGCAGTACTGGGCTACTGTCCCAAAATGTATTCATTTTATTAGTTTAACTGCATTTGTAACCATTTAAAAATATATTTTACATTACTCTTTTATGCTAATTCAGGTGAATGCAGTCCCAAGTTCTATGTTTTCTTAATTTTGTTGTATTGGCATTGACAGATATGTACACAGACAATACTGGATATTAGAAACATCCCAGAATTTCCATATCGATGCATCCCTAGCTTTTATTAGCACAATGAATACAAAACTACATCACAGCTTTTTGGATCATTGCACTTTGCTTCCAAAAACTTACTTAAATTTTGTCCACATGTTTTTCTTTTAATGTGAGAGCACTGCTGGCTGTCCTTCATTTATGCTGGTTAATATAGTGTGCCATTACTGCAGATACAAGAGACCAATTTCCAGGGATTGCAGGCTTTTTAAGCACACAGCAAAGTTCCTGGTGAGACGTGAACTGATAAGAGTTACAAGGCAATCAGTTGCCCCATAATGGTCCTTACATGATCACACTGAGTTGGGCACAGTCAATCCCCAACTTCTCACTGGCCTGTTTTCTCGTTTGTAAATGAAGTCCTATCCTGCCACTTAGCTAATGGAGGTCCAGTGCTGTGTTATAAAGGTTGATCAGACATCCCTGTTTTCTGGGGACAGTCCCCATTTTTGGTGACCTGTCCCTGGCTGGAGATATCCCCTGAAATATCCCTGTTTTAACAGTGAACTGAAAACACACCGGAAAGTCCTTAGAAAGACCTGGCAGTAGAGCAGATGGGCAGACGTTTGCGCTGTACTTGATTTGACCAACAGTGGGGGCTGCTGCTGCTATCTACTGACCACTTCCACCAGTGCTCGTCTAGTTTTAGGCACTTGAATCGTACTACCAGGTGATAGGTACATACCTGTACTTGTCTACATATCATATTTGTCTAGGCATACAATCTACTTGGATTTAGGCTACCATACGATCTACAAATACTGCATCTTTTTTTTTATGCGTCACTTTTTCAGCCGTCCATATATGACATTTGGCATATGTTAATAAAGGACGTCTTATTTAAAATATTACATAGATACTACCCAACAAACTGTTATTTGGCTTTCTGAGACTGTGATTTTGTAAAAATGTTTTGGAAAGATTTGGCCAGATTTTTAGTTAATCACATTGATTTTTCTCTGTACCTGGAAAATGTTTTGTTTAGTTTTAATGTTTATAAAGATAAAGGAATCACTACTGTATCATTAACCTAATTATAATATTAGCAAAATTTACATTAATAAATGTAAATGTTATAATGTCAAGCTGTTATTTATGATTTTTGTACTTGAGCTTAGACTCTGCGATGGACTGGTGACCTGTACAGGGTGTATCCTGCCTTCTGCCCAATGACCGCTGGGATAGGCCCCCTCATGACCCAGAAGGATAAGCAGTTTAGAAAATGTCTGTGTGTGTGTGAGATTGTATATTAACAGTATTCTATACTATTTAATACTATATACACATAATATTACTGTATATTATACTATTCTACAAAAACATCACTAGGAGTCTGATACCTCTTGCTGAAGCAAAAAAGAAAAAAAAACATATGGCATATACTGATAGCAGCCGTCTCTGTTTCTCTAGAACTGGGGATAGCCCAGGGGTGTGTCTGAGGTCTGACTATTGGGCTATAGCCGCAGGTCTCTTTTTACTGCCAAAATATTCTATATATATTTATTTCTAAAAAGCGACTAGCAGCAAATCTTGTGAAGGGAAAAAGCAAGAAATATAAATCTTTTATAGGACTATTGTAATGTATTCCCATGCATGCTGACCATTTTCTTTACTGAATGTACCATAGCTTCACTCACCATGGTAGGCTAATGCATGATTTTCTGGCATGGTTTACAAAGTTACTTACTTAGTACCCAATTTTATTAGTCGGCCTTCACCATAGTTCATTACAGTACAACGCAGATTAAAACATTGGATATTTTAATAATGTATTGACCGCTGAATTGGAAATATCCCTGTTTTCATTTCAGAAAATCTTGTCACCTTAGTGTTAAAGGAGACAGCATGAGACTAAATTTTCTGTCATGCTTCCTTGTTTACACACGTGAGACAGTGGCAGTCCCTCATCCTAAATTACAGCACATCATGTTTTACCATTAACCCAGGGAAAAGAGGAAGCAAATGACTGACCCAGTCTGCAAACCCAAACTATCTGAGCAGCAGGCTCTCATTACCAGAGAACAGAGAGCAGCTCTTATTGTGCGATCACCGCATGCCTGAACGCCCCCAACCAGGAATGTGTCTGCGCATATTTAATCTCTTTAAGCAGGGGCCTGAGCCACAGCCTTATGTGCCACTGTGATTTTGCAGGCCAGATTGGAAAAGCTGATGAATTAATACAAGACATGCGCTGTCTTTTATGATATTCTGGGAAACATTTCAATTCCACAGACAAAGATGGACAATACATCTCATGGACAAAAAAAAAGTAATCTTTGGAGAGCCGTGAGGGAGAATAGGACTAGGATGACTAAAACATCACATTTGCTCAGGGGATATTTAATTATTTGGTGCAGCTGGAGCGTGTCTAATAGGACTCTGTCCTCTCTGGAAAAGTGAAAAAAAACTAGTGGTGGAGTGGTGAAAGCGTCTTCTGTCTTTGCATTTAAAATTGTGATTAGAACAAAAAAAATTGCAGCATTTAAACTGTATTTCACTTTCAAATGACTTTCCACTCTGTTGCACACAACACAATAGAGAAGCTTGATCAGGGATTTCCAGCTCTGGTCCTTGAAAGTCCAGTACAGTTTGGTGATTTCCCTGATTCAATACACCAGTCTTATCAGTTAAGTACTAAGTCTAGTACGTGGGTCATTCTCACAAAACTGCCCCAAAAATATCCCTAATTACTTGAGTGTTACAAGCATCACGCAGATAAACAATATTCATATAATGTAGTAGATCAATTGGAGCTATACATGATACAGTAAAGTTGGAGTTTATGTTTGTATTTTAAAGTTTTTTATACATTTTTACATTTTATACCCTAATTCTCATTACCACAATGTGTTCTCATAGATGTTTCTCATTACTGATATTTAGCATTTTTTTGTTTCTTTTTTAAAGAAAAATCAACTTATATTACTTTTAACTGCTGAATCCCTTTACTTTAATGTTTTCCTTCTAAATTGTAAGGATGAGAACCAAAACAACTACATTACTACATTAGTTTTACAAATGTAACCGCTGTTGTGTGAGTAGTGGATGACTGTGCTACTTACTGAGTGGATATTTCCCTGCATACGCAGCTTCAGACCGAGAGGCTGTGTATACATGAGTCACATGTGATATCACCGGGGCTATATGGCTTGGCTTGTATTCCGCACCTTCACTGTAGCAGACTTGGCACTTCAATTCCCTGACAGGACATAAGAGCTGTCTCCTGGGGTCTGAATGGTCAGTGTACGCAGACAGAACTGAGAACTTTTGGCTGGAAGGTCAGGTTCATTCACATCGTCTGGATCCCCCAGGAGGCACAGGAGGCTGACCAATAATGCTTGTAGCTCACCTCTGTACTTTGCCACAGCAAAGAGCAAAAGTGTTGTTTTCAATGACAGCCACTTAGGAAGGGTTTTGCACCAAGGGTTGGAAATGGAGCACTGCATATGTAGTACAACAGCATCTGGAGCTTCCAGGGCAGTGGCTGAGATGAGCAGGACAGGCGAAGTCTCTGTGCCCCTTTCAAGAAAGCCGCAATCAATTTGTGGGAGCCCAGAGATGGGCCACTGCTTAGAGCCAGACGGTTGGAGAGGACAGCCACTTGCAAAGTAGAGGAAGATCTCCCCAGCTCCACAGAGCATGCAAATGCCTGCTACTTGCGCTCGTATAAGGCATGAGTTGAAGGAACTACAGTTGAAGTATTTCTGACACCAGGAGAGAACTACGACAGATCTGAGTTGGCCTTAAGGGCCAAAGCTATAGCTGGAGAAACTCCCCCAGGTGGGTGACAAGGTCCTTCTTTACAGGGAGTTCCCACAGAACGTCCTGTAATAAAGACAGAAGCAGAAGAAAATACGGTTGCCTCGGCCACCATGGTGCCACCAGGAGGACCCAATGTTCTTCTTGCAGAAATGTCTGGGAGAGCTGGAATGAGACGCAGTTGGGGAAACGCAAACAGCAGCTCCCTTGGCCAGTTGTGGCCAGGGCATCCTAACCCAGTGGACTGTCTTGGTCCCATTCCGAGAACACAGCCAAATGTCTGATGAGGCGAACAGGTTTGCGTGCCAATCCATGTTTGCCCCAGATCATACTGACCACGTCTCAGTAAAGTCTCTATCGGCTCAGTGTATTGTGAGAGTGTGTGTGCTGTCTGGTTGGTCACACTCACTAGATAAGCAGCTCTCAATGACAAGAACTTGAGATGTGCCCACGTCCACAGGTCCTGCACCAGCCTTAACAACACCTGAGATCTGGTGCTGCCGTAATGATTCACATGGTGGACAGTGGCTCAATTGTCCAAAGGTACAAGCATGTCTGCCATGGAGGTTTGGAAGAAAATAAGGCATGTTTCACCGTTCACAGCTCATGATGGTTGATATGTTCCTCAGTGATGTCTGCTGACCACTTGCCATGAATCTGACTGTGCTGCCATTCTGCACCCTCATCCTGTGGTAGATGCATCTGCTCTCACTACCTCTCTGTGTACAGGAAACTGACTTATCATCAACCTGGACATGTGTAACTGCAAGCGCATTTTGATGCACTTGCATCGAAATGCTGGGAGGGTAAGGTGGAAAGAGGCTCCAGGGGCTGGAGTGCTATGCACAGAGCCCCCCGGCTGAGAAAAAGACATTCAGAAAGCACTTCCCTGGTTCCATCTGCATCCATTCAGCTGTATTAAGTTCTCAGAAAATGAGTCCATCCATTTAGTTAGTAGAGTAGACCATTTTTCCTTATGCAGCACCTGCCCCGCTTCATCTGAGGCTGCTTAGCTGCCTTCTTGGCCAAGCATGGTGGTGCTGGTGGTGCTGCTCGTTCCTGGCTTCCAGGCCAGCTAGCCGCTCTTGGTGGTGAAGTAAGGGAAAATTATGCATGTGCAATGTATGGTTACCCTAGGCACGAAGGGGATAAGCTGTGGCCATGGTCAGAGTCCAATATGGTGAAGCAATGTGGGAGCTAGGGCTTCTAGAGACTGAGAGCTTACCTGAAGGCTCCGCTAGCCCCACGGCTAAACTTTATGCCCAACACCAAACCTGCTCCAGGTGAGGGAAGAGCTACAACCCTCATAGGTCAGATCACATACCAAAATGCTTGAGGTGTGGCTGGACGAGGAGTCGATGACATCCGTCTGTAGATTATGCAGGAACTGGGGATATGGAGCCTGCTATGTACAAGAAGGCTCCACTAGCCCAGTGGCTAAGCTTTATCCCCAACACTGACTATGCTGAAGGTGAGGGGAGAGCTACACCCCTAAGGGGTCCGAGCCTACATCAAGATGCTTATATGTGGTCGGACAAGGACTCAACGATAACAGGCCGCAGAGTAAGAAAGAATTTTGTAGCTCTTACCCTACGAATTGTGTTGCTGAGCTGCACACTCAGTCTGAAGATGAGAAGAGAAAAGAGCAAGTCTGCAGTTAGATTATATAGACATCACATGAAGGGGTCACATGCGACTTTCTGGTTATCAACCTCTCGGCACATACACAGGGAAATATCTAATCAGTAATCAGTAAGTAACCCCCTGAAGGTTAGGAGATTCGAAACATAACTGTGGCAGTGTTGTGGTAATAAGATACAAATGTAAAACACTTTTATGTGTATTTTCCATAGATTTTGAAACATGATGTAATATTTGTTGACAGCATGATTTAAGTATATGTTTATATATATTATATTGTTTTTTTACTTTTTAAAATAAAGATATAAAGATGAGGGAAAGCACTGGTTAACAGGCTAGCCATTTAGCATCCCAGTTGCTTTCGCTTTTCTTACATTTTTACCGCAAAAGCAAGATAAAGAGAAAAGACTTCAGGAAGAAAAAAGTCAGGTTATTGTTAAAATAAATCCATGTACAATCAACCAACTGCAGTTGCATGTACTTGCAGCCAGGAGGTGACAGTGGATGCTGTCACTTGAAGAAGACAGGTGGGGGTGGTGGAAGGAGGAAGGAAAACATGCTATGCATTATTGGTTAGTATCATTTTTTTCCTGGCCACTGGAACAATTTGACACCACCAAACATCAGCTGACATTTAGAGATGGACAAAAATCACTATACTTCAATCAAAGATTATGGAGAAACAAGAATTTTGTCTGTTGAATGATTTGAGACAATAGATTGTGCTTAAAACGTCCAAGGACATGAACTAACAAGCAACATTTTAGCCTGAATTCAATTAATTAAAGCATTCCCACTTCAGACAACTCAGAGCTGGATAGGGCAGGTTTCACTGGTAACCTACATGCATGGACACCAACAGAACATGAGGTACTCACCTGGAATATAGCGATCCAAGCATATCCAATATTATCAAAGTTCACAGCCCCCTTATGTGGATTCAGTTCTCCGGGCCGACATACACTGTAGTACTGGTTCCAGTTCACACAGCTGTTCCTGTTGGACCCATCGGTGCCGAAATAGGCATGTCCAGGGGTTGCATTGAGTGTGCACTCTGTCTCGCCCTCCCTTAATCGAGGCACGTCACGGCAGCGGAGCATACCGTTCTCCTTCTCAGAAGAGCAGATGAATGGGCTGTCCTCACCTTCCTCACGCATGAAGTACGGACTCATGAAGGACAGATTATACATACTGTGAAGGAACAAGATTCAAGGTTTCAATATTCAAGACTTTAGTCACGGTCACTGTACATTTTTCAAAAATCAAATTTAATTCCTTTTTCTTTTTTCAAATTAAGACCTAACAAAACATATTGCATTATATAATATCACTCCCACCACACAGAACAAACACAAATATAGCAGGTATTAACATGTATTTTATTCAAACAAACTAAAAAACAAATATGGATGTACGCTTTGAGATATATATGTCACATATATCTAGCTTCACTAACTACTCTCTCTTGTCCTTACATGGTCTTTTCAGTGTGCTTGAATTTGTCATCACTTCTGCCATGCTCTACCTCTTTCGTCAATGGTCAGTTTTATCCCACAGGGCCACTGTCAGCTGGCTATTTTTGGTTGTTGGACTATTCTGAATTTCAACCAAGACCTCATCTTAGAATATCTCTACTTGTAAAAAATAAGAAATCCTACAAATCTGTTTAACTTTATAAAATGTTTTAAGGACCCACGAGGACCCAGTTATTGCCACACAAGAAAAAGGTGGCATCTGAATTCAGTGCAGCTATGTGCAATGACAAGAGTAGAACAATGAATTGTTTCTTTATCACTAAAATATATTACCATATATAATTACAGTAATATATTAGGACCAAAAGAAACCGGAAGAAATGCAAACGTAAATTTTGAATCAAGTAAATTAAATGCTTTACTTTTTTCCTGCGAAGTCCAAAATACACAGAAAACAATGTGGTGCAAAACAAGAACACATTATAGACACCCTGTATGTCATACATAATTAAGTAAGAGATGTAGGTGCATCAAAGTAATGACTATAAACTAGTGTCAATGAGTTGACGAGTGTAAATATAGTAACGTAGTACATGTAAAAAATACAACAGTGCAAATTGAAAAAAAAAAACAATAATATGCAGCAGACACTGAAGTGCATGATGAGATGTGCTGGTCCAGACAGAGGTACTTAGAACAGCACCAGAAAAGGATGATAATAGGAGGCCAGACAAAGAAAGCAGCTCATCACCTAAGTGTGAATAAAGGCCATGATGCAGTATCATGATGCAGTGGTTTTGCAATCATCTTACACAATCAACTGTTAAAAATAGACACAAGACTGTTACCAAGTCTCCCCAGCAGCTCCACCACAGAAATATAACAGTGAGTCAGTTTTTGGGGCTAAACAAAGAGCTAACAAACAATACTCCTGCTATATCATGATAACTGAATCACGTGGACCCCTACACAATACAAAGCATAAACAGAGCACTAATCTGTTCCATTACATCAAAATATGACTTAGAGGGCATTTTCTGGCTGTTCTGACTCCTCAGCTCTTCAATTCTTTGAATGCAAAAAGTTTGTAGCATTATCGAAGGTGTGCGCATCTCCCTTGCTCAGGGGCTGCTGTTTGACATCGCATCGCCGGGGTGCGATGTTCAGTTTACAAGGCTGTCAGCAGCAGAAATGCCATTGCTGCTGGCAACAGTTGACTGTCGCTTTGGATCACATCCGGAGCCCTGATGTGCTCCTGGAGGAGTAGGGGTGTGGGGGTGGGGGGATGGAGAGATAGAGAGACAGCAGGAGAGAATGCAGAGAGAGGATGGACATAGGAAAGAGGATGGGCACTTACTCCTTCACCTCCTTGTCCAAGAAACACCTATTCCTCAGAAGACCAGCCCAGAGCTGCACCCCGACAATGCCGAATATAAAGAAGACAAAAAAGCACAGCAGGAGGACATTGCCTAACATAGGCAGAGTATCTAGGAGCAGAGTCACCAGTATCTTCATACCTGCAGAGACAAAAGATTCAGAGAGAGAGAGAGAGAGAGACAGAGAGAGATACAGAGAGAGAGAGAGAGAGAGAGACAGAGAGAGATACAGAGAGAGAGAGAGACAGAGAGAGAGAGATAAAGAGTGTCATAGAGACAGAACATGATAATGCCTATACATATTTAACAGCGACAGTTTTACATAATCAGTTATTTTTTGTAGAGGATGGGATTCTTCTATGCAACATTAAGCTCAAAGAACCTGTTGACTTTGGAGTGTGAATTACAATTAACTGTGTACCACAGAATTTTAATGGGACACCTCAGAACAAAGAAACAGCCAGTCTGCAACTGAAATTTTCAAAATGTCTAAAGCTCTAGGCTTTTTATGCTTCCTCTACTGTAAAATAAATTTATGCGCACACAGAGACATTATAAAGTAGGATACTGTGGCGCAGCAGGGCTTGAGGGAGGAAAGAAAATGCAAGCTCTCACTAATGCACGCATGTTTACAGTCACATATTGGTCACAAATTTCATCAGGAGACGCTAGCAGCCTGTTGTATGCTGCAGCACAGAAGTAAAAATATGCTGGAGCATCCCACAGTGCGACATACGCTCTGAGGAAAATTCTCAGCATTTTGCGTCCAACTTGCATCTCCCACTGGTCCAGATGACATATACAGTTTTGAAATAATACTTCTTGGCCTCCCACCGGCATGTCTAGCTGAATTCCAGCACCTCTGCTATAATGATGGAAACCTAGTTTTTTTTATATGCAAAGCACATTTACTGGACATGGCATGGGAATTAGCTCATTTACAAGAGCAAGTTGAGCAGTCTGAGGTTTGTCCAGTAGGAGACACTATTAGGACACAATGTGTTTTTTAGTGCATCATTAAGAGAAGAAAGAGCCATGTACACACTTGCTTGCAGTCACAACTTTCAAAGCGAAAGGTTTTTTAAAAATGTCATTCAGCATTACATTATTTAATATGTGATTTTCACTATCCTACACCTATTATTCAGTATCTACTGGTGTTGTAGTATTCAAGTCCGGTCTTCGTCTCAAGGGCATAAATTAATGGTCGCAGTCTCGACACCATTTTGACTAAGTCTTGTCTCGGTCTTGGAGTAACGTGGTCTCGGTGGACTCGGACTCAGGATCAGCCGAGTGTAGTGTCTGTTTGAGGTAACTGGAAAATAAACGTTTTCTATCAATATTTAATAACAACAATAACTTCAAACATAATAAAAGGGCAGATCAGAATGTTATTGCTATGTTTTCATTTAATAATAAAAATGGGTGTATATTGTTTGGTTTATATTCAAATTACTTTAGATGGTGTGATTCTGAAAAGGTTTTAGAAAAGAAGGGACAGAAAATAACCTTACCATTCATCATTTGATTCCCACAGTTACAATGCCAAGTCAAACTAAAACTATAATGCAATAATAATAATTATTAATATTTTAAGGGTAAATATATCATTTAATATAGTATGTTACAAAATATAAAATATAAAATGATTTATTAATATGTCATGTATAATGGATGATAATAAATGTACAACAAACTACAAACATTTTTTTTTTTATTTTTACATTCTGAAAAAATCTGGGACTCTAGACTCTGGACTACTATAAAGTCTTGGTCTTGACTTGGACTCGATGTGTCCAGGTCTTGGTCTTGACTTGGACTCGCTACTAGTGGTCTTGATTACAACCCAGTAACTACTATGAAACTAATATGCAACTTAAGTAGTTGTGGGAGTGAGGAACCGTGCTGTGGGCTCACATACAGGCCCCTAGGATTTAAGGGCATAATGCATGTTCTTCAACATTTAAAGGAAAATGCTCACCACTTTTAAAGAGCCATGCCTGAGAAAGAGAGAGCAGGTCATGCGAACATCGTCAAGTGAGTCTACAGAGTGGAGTGAAATAAGTTCAGTGAGGCGCCACTTGAGTTGTCAGAATGTATAAGCTGGAGGAGAACATCAGCAGCAGAAAATAGCCTTCCTCAGGGAGAACTAATGCTCCTTTACCCAAAGATAGGCTATCCAGACCCATCCCAAATGGATTCTTCCTGCCTGAAACTGCCGATGCCTTCTTAATGCGCCTGAGGGTGAGTAGGCAGCAGCTAACAGATGACACTCGGGTTTTGATTTAGTTCATACATCAGTAACTCTGTGTATGTTGTTACAAACTATTGATCCAGCTTAGGCGAAACAACTGAGTTTCTGGGAAGAAGCACTAGAAAGGTCAACCACCAGGAGTTAATGGATACTCTTCCACTTTGTCTAACTGATGTCAAAGCACTAATGAGCGAACACTGCAACCGCACACCGCATACCAGTCTGGGGTCTGAGTGCCTGAATTAAAGCCAGAAAGTAGCAAAACATGAGGAGACGACAAAGAGAAAAATACTGTCTGGGCGCTGGGATACATTCAACGGAAATGCCTACTCTGTGTGTGTGTGTGTGTGTGTGCGCGTGTGTGTGCGCGCACGGCTGATGTAATTCTAGTGAATGATGAGAAGAGGAGAGGGCCTTAAATGGACCTGTTTGAGTGGAGCGGCAACATCCTCTGTGTGGCCTGTCTTGGCCTCTCTCCCTTTGCCTCCCACCTAAAGATGGCTTGGAGCCGTCTCAGAGGAGGCTCCAGCGCCGTGCGGCCGGAGTAATGAGCTCCCTAGAGGAGCGCTCCATTACAGAGTGGAGAGAGATGAGGAGACCAGCACACACACACATGCCAACACTGAGGGAGATACAGTCTCTGTAAAGAGCGACCACCAGAGTCAAACTTACTATCTGAATTAACCTGCAGGTGTGAGACGCTCCGAGGGCAGACTCACAAACCAGACTTCTGCCTACTGTCAGAAAGTCAGGCGTGTTTCATGCCTTTAAAAGGAAATCCAATGATTTTTTCATATTTCTGCATAGTTCAAACACGTGATGTAAACAAAGTCATCCATAATGGTTTAATGTAAAATGGTTCATTGCAGAGAAACTTACTAGCTCTTATTTCTTTACCAGGGGTGAGACATTTTATTTGCTATACAAAATGACTAGTGAACCTACACATCCTTTGAGTTTTTGTTATGTTATAATTATAATGGTTAAATAACAATAAATGAGAAAAAAAAACGTTTTCTTTGGGAACTATTTTGTCTTGCATGCCCTGCATGTACCCAGCTGCCAACATTTAAAAAAGGTTTTAATCCAAAGTCTTATCTCAGTAAATCAACATCTCTCGCATCAGGCAGCATATTCTAAATAACTTTATGTGAGGGAACTTTTAGAAACTTCTTAGAAATCCCAGGCTTACTACATACTTAGGCTTATTACTAAGTAACTACAGAGACTTCAATGCAAACTGGCTAAGCTATTCTGAAGTTATAAAAGTATGTAATAAAACTTTGGGCCTGCCTGTCAGCCCTGGCCAGGGTTAAGGGGTTAAACAAATGTCTGGTTCCTACCACCACTGTGAACAATTTTGACTCTGTAAGTTACTCTAGAACGGAGCATTTCACATCAAACCACTCTAAATGACTTTGTTTACATCATACACTATACAATCATGCAGAACTTTAAAAAAAACGGTGGAATCTGTATTTAACATGGCCAAGAACCACAAACATTACGAGGAAAGAGCCATTTGACTGACATGTAAAGTAACAAACCACAGACTGTTGTTTTAGAGTGATAAGTAGGGACAGGTGACTTTCCAGAACAGGGCTACAACCAAAACAAAACAACAAATTGGTATTTACTGGCAAACACGCGAAAATATCTTACTTAAAAGCAATAAATACATCAAAGAAAACTCTTGACTAGAATTTCAAGCTGCTATGCCGTAACCTTCACATACCTTTTCCAATCCAGCGACTATATCTTACTCCAATGACTCAGTCACACAGCATAAAGCCAGTAAATGCTTGCAAAAGTTTGTTGTGTGGATAGCCAATCAGAATGCTGGGAAAAATACTAAGGTAAAATCCTGAGAGCTGTGTCCAGCTTAACGTACCGTACACAGCAGAGGCTCCGTACACATGTGGGCAGATTATCTGAGGCAGAGACTACTCCAAGAAAACAACAAACAAGCTCATGAGCATACAGCCACAAACACACACATACAGACGCACTTCTACCCTCTGCGAGCGATAAAATCAGTTGTGACTGAAGGCATTCTCCTTAGCAGCAACCTCAGACTCTGGTGGATAAATCACACTATCAGTTCCCCCATCTGTGCTACAGTGGAGCCATTAAAATCCATGCAGCAGGGGAAAGATTAACTAAGCGCTAAATCTACAACCTGCTCCACACTGAACAAGTGCTCCAGAAAAAATGGAACAAAAGCACCCCCTGCTCTGCTGACCAATAACTCTGTGAGGGGTAACACAGGGAAGAGCACTAGGAACTGTGCTTGCTTACAACTGTAAGGATGTGCGTACGTTAAAACAAATACACACACAATTTGTGGTTTTGAAAGCAATCTTGAGGTGATCTAATGCAACTATTCTTTTTGTCATACATAGGACATTACCAGAAAAAACACCACAGATGCTTCCATCAGATCGGTGTCGTGTTTCCTCCGATTTGCAGCGGATGTTGGGTGGTGTAATGTATACAGCACTAAGTGCTCTGTAACTGGTCTATCCCATACCGCCTCCTCATACATGCGGCTAATAAACATCGCCCATCTGTTTATCACCAGACATCGTGTGGTTTCTCTGCCTGTCTCATATCAGATGATTCTAGCTGATGGGTATTGTGGGGAACGTAGCAGGCTCTTACTGGGAACTCTGTTGATGGCTTTTAGAGGCCTGAGCACGCGTACGGTCCGGATGGCTGACAGGCTGGCGTTGTGGCCGTCCAGTGAGTACTCCAACATCCTGAGGTGGAACAAAGCACAGGGAAAACAATTCAGTCTCCGCAATCAGCACTGGGCACTAAAGGTCACCCCTGTAGGCAACTCCAGCTGACCTTTCCTTTTGAGCACCTCTTATTGATTACATCAGAAAAGTGATCTCTGTTCCAGCAGACATATCCAGAGTGTTCTGGTGTATCCAGTGTTGTCTTCAATTGTAATAATGTATTAAAGGAATAGTTCAAACTGAATTTGCAGAACTGTACCCTAACCCCCAAGGCATGTTTGGTGTCTGATTTTGCTTCTTTGTACTGGAGCTACGAAGCTAATGTAGCTAACAACAAAGGGAAGCTAACACCGCACCAATTCACATCATGTGAACTGCATGCATAAATCATCACACTCTTCCATCGAATCGTGCCAAAGTGTTAAATAAGTAATAAGAAATGGACAAATTCATGGACAAAATTCTCAGCAATGCAACATATTTTTGTCCATTTTTGTCCAGCTCCCGTGTAAAACTGGAAAAAGCAAATTTCAGTCTCTTAACATGCGCTGGCTTTGATTACATTTGAGGCAAAGAGAAAATTGTGTAATTGTGAAACTTTTTGCCAATGTTTTCCTTTAAATATCCAAAGACAATGCAAAGTGCAAAAATGTGTACAAGTCTCAGTCGAAGAAATTTGCATTTAATAACTATTGAGTCCACTGTGCTCAAAGAATGTTTTTGCATAACATGCATTTGTTAAATATTGTTGGGTAAATGAAGAAGGAGCGGGTGAAGGTCTCTCACCCCGCCATGACGATGAAGAAGTCCAGACGGTTCCATGTGTCTCCAAGGTAACACTCTGATCCAAAAATCCCTAGAGCCATCATCTTGATGACCATCTCCACAGCAAAGAAGGCGAAGATGCAGTCATCAAATGCCTGTGGACACAGTCAGACAGGTTTTGCACCTGAGTGCAGTGAAAAAGCAAAACAAAGCAGCCACTGCCCTAGAGTTTAGCAGGAGTACATCAATCACAGATCTAGAAACAAATGCCAAAATGGCCAAAACAAATCCATAAATGTGTAAAAAAACATGGGAATACATGATTTATGCATCAATCAGCAGAAGGCATTCACTACCATGCCAATCCTGAGGAAAGGAGCAGGACGAGTTATAAATAGTGTAGCACTTCCTGTCATGACCCCGTTTGACCCCTGCTTTCGAAATCCTACTAAACCCACTGGCAGAGCGCACTAGATCCGCGCCTTTCCCATAGCCTCACGGATCCCAAGCCGGCCCGGTGGGGGCGTTGGGCAGGGCTGCAGGGAATCACTATGCTACACAAACAACATGCTTCTCTCACTGACATCTGGCCAAGCCTCCGCTGACCCCTTAGACCCTGTGCCCAGTAGGACTTGGATCAAGAGCTGAAGCCACAATGGGAAAGCACTATAAATGGCAGCACCCAAATTTGATCTGTGCTTGCAGAACCTTAGAAACAGGAAAGCTATACATATTGATGCACTTTGAGAAAAACTCTGTCACCTGCCAGCGTACACAAGAATGTATTGTGGGAAGAAAGAACCCAGCAATCACAGTGTGTGTGCTCATCAACAGGCTTACCTCATCACATCAAAAGTCTCTGTGAAGATCAAGGCTTACCTGGAGGATGATGCACCACTCGGACTGGCACTTGACGTCCTCGCAGGGCTGGAACATGCCCAGGGTCACACAGTTCAGCAGGATAACCAGCATGCTCACATGCTCGAACCAAGTGCATACAAGTCAAGGAAAACTACTCACACAGAGCTACACTGCAAGACAGAAAGCAGGGCTACAAGAAGCATTAAATCACTGTTGCTATAAGAAACAACATATTTCCAAACAACATCATTAAAGATGGAAAAACATTTGTTAATGTAACTTTTTGGCTATTTTCACAGGTCAGTTCATTTTCTTAATTTGACCTGTGTGCGTAACTTCACCTGTGTGCGGTTTTTTAAATGGTGGACTAAAAAAAAAAAAGTGAACAGCCATAAAATGTAAAATCCATGATTTAGCTCTTGATTCAGCTTGTTTGTGTAAAGACAGCACAGAGGAACTGAGCCAACACCTCCTTGTTACCCTGCAGCTGGACAAAATGAGTCAACAGTGAATTAGCAGTCACATGATCTGGTCCTTTGTTCACTTCGAGATAAGGAAGGGAATGTCTACTGCATAAACATATGACTTTTTTCTATGATACAGCAAGAAATTCTTTAATAAATTCTTTATAAAACCTGAGCAGACACATCCTATGTACATTTGCTGTTTAAATGTTTGGATCATTAGGTCTAATGCATTGCAAAATGCATCTCGTCTATGCCAGAATGTTTATTGAAAAGCACAGAATATGAGTAAGAAGCGAAAAAGATATTGGAAATTGGAAATTTCATCAAGATGTTTCAGTTGGTCTATTCTGATTATTCAGGTCCCTGTAGGACATGGGCAGAATGTAAACTAAACTGCCTAATGTTCTCTCCCAAACCACAAAGGCTGGTACTTTTCAATGACAAAAGTAAATTAGGCTTCCTGCTTAAATCACAATTGATCCGTTGCAAAATTCCTAACAGGTTACCTCAAAACCTTCCACACAGTGATGAACTACCTTAAAACTATATCACCCAAACTCACGAGAAAAGCCATAGGGGAGGAGACTTTAGAAGCCATCATGCAGAATATTACCAAACGCAGGATCTAAATGTTGACATTAAGGATACCAAATTGGATCATATGTCACGAAATGTTTTTCCTGTTTATCCACTGAAGTATTTAGCATGGAAAATGGAAACAGGGGATCTGTCATTTTCAGTTGTACTACTAGCTGTCAGGGATGTGTGGTAGTTTAAGCACTATGGGTAATGTGTCCAAAGCAGGCAGTCACTGGCGCTGCAGCTGTCAGAGAGCGTGACCCATCAGCACCTCCTTGGCTCTGTCTGCTCCAGCCAGCATTAACACCAATGAGATAATCGTGACTAACAGGCCATTACGAGCTTCACATAGACTGGAGTCACAACAGGCCACAATCCCTTGTACGATGCAACAGAGGAGTTTTAAGCATACATACATAAACACACACACACACACACATGCACACAGTTACACAAACATGCTTATGACCACCCACGTACACAGAAAGCCTATCAGAGAGCTCCACCTCATTCCACAACACTTCACAACCTTGAAAACATCAGAGTCGAAACCCTCTAAGGATGCAATCAGCTTTCCAAAGGCCGAAATGCCAGGCCTGATCCATAGAGGGCCTCTCCTGCCTCATGTTTAATGCAGACCCTACTGTTCTAAGTGGGCCACATGATAAGTGCCTTGCTATGCTACACTCAGATGAAAAATCTGAATAGGACTGTAAAACTCTTTTCCATACACCATCGGGAGGGTCTTAACCTCACGTTTGTCCTCATGGGAGCGGTAAATGGAATAAACCACTGATGATGAGGAGCTGTGAGGAGTTTTAGGTCACCATGCCTCTGGGAAGGCCACACAAACACAGGCAATGGGAAAAAAACTGGAAAATGGAAGCACTTCAAATAGCGCTCTGAGAGGGTACAAGGGGAGCATTTCCATTCAAGGAGCATACAATGGAGAAGAAATGGTGGAACATTATTTTGTGCAGGTGCTGGTGATAAAAGAAGCACATGGCATAAGCTTTGCAGTTTCTTTGACAAAGTGCTTCTCTCAGGCTTTAGGACAGTGGCCACCAACCCTAGACCTACTGATCTATGTTCCTGCAGAATGCAGCTCCAGCCCATATCTAACACACCTGATCACACTAATTAATTAGATTGATGATCTGAATAATGTGTTCAAACAAGGCCAGAAGTGGACTTTTAAAGAAGGTAGATCTACAGGAGCAGGACCACTGTTCTAGGACATGGCTTACTAAACAGCTTTGCATGCAGAGAACCAGCCCAGGTTTTCCTAGCGGTAACAACCTCCCAGTGGCACTTCACAGACTGTACTTCATAGCATACAGTAAGATGGTTCCTCTCTTCAGGGAAAACAGAGAAATTGAGTGTCTCTTCAATAAATCATGGCAAGATTAGCAGAAGTAAAGGGCATACAGCGCAGCCCGGTTGCCTTGATGATACTGAACACGTTTAAAAAAAAGTCTCTCAGACAAGAAGTCAGAGCTGCTTAAATTTATGGCAGGTCACTGCAATGAACAACCATTTTTTCTTTTATAACAAGAGACCATTTCCCAGCTGTCTGATCCTCAACCATTCATCTCCTTAAAAGGAGAATAGAAACCAATACTACCAAAATAAGACTTTCCCAAGCATAATCTCAGCCAACTTGTCCAACTTAGAGAGAAAACTATTGTCTATATTTGTTCTTGTTCCCTGCTTCCTTCTTTCCTTCCATCGTTCCATTCTCCTTCTAAATTCATCATCCTCTTTCTCCATCCCACGCCCCACCCCCCACTCCTTTCATATCACATTAACCTGACGAGATGAGTAAAAGCCACAGCACATGAGGAAAAGACAGATCTACAGTGATGTTGAGCTCAGTTATTAGACCGACAGCATGTGCAGAGGTGAGGCAACGTAACTAAATTCCGCTCCTGCACCTTCAGCACAGCTGATTGCTACAACAAATGTGGCTGTCGGTGGCGTTCCTTGTGTAGTCCTTTGACGCTCTGTGCACTTTGACAACAATCTCCCATTCTGTCCCCCATCAAGCCCCGTTCTAGACACAGAAAGTGCCTTTAAAAATGTGCCTCAAAACAGTAATTTGCTGGCTTCAATGGCTTCACTGAAAAGTTGCATGAGGGAGTTGACTTTGATGGCTAGAAATAACTATTTGTCTCCAGTAAAAGTGTCTGCCCTTGCAAGAATTACAATGTCAATGAAGTGGGACCAGGCTCCAGCAGGCTGTCTTCTTTATCTTGCTCTCCTGTGAACATCTGCCATATGGTTAAGTCTCAAAAATGTGTCTGTGTGTCAGAACAAACCTTTCTTTGCAACAGCGGCAACTCCGATCAAGAGATGATGACTAACATGCAAATGTATGACTCATACTAAAAGTAGTGGGTTTAGCAACAATGTTGTAACATGAAGAACCGAGATCCGTTATTCTAGCATTTGGCTTAATGTCATGAACACACACACAGAGCTATTAGTTGTTAATTAGAGCAATAGTGGTAGTATGGTTAATCAGCAGAGGAGCAAATTTACACATCCTAAGTGCTAATGTGAGTTTTTGGCAGCGGTGTTCAGACTTTTTCAGTTACTGCCTGTATATGATGGCCGATTTAATTAGCTGCCAAAAGAGTTTAGAAATGGAAAATGGTATCGTGTGAATCTCATCGGAAATAGATCTTAAGCTTAGCCTCTTTTCAGACACGCATTTTTACCTGGGAATTTAACAGTAATTAAACAGGAAGGAGTTAAGCATGAACACAAGTTGGAGTCAAAAAAAGATTTTTACCTGCACTAGACTTTATGCAGTTCCTATGAAATTACAGATTAAACACGCTGCAGCATCAGTAAAGTTGACCATTTATGTTTTTACAATGAAGTTTTCAGTTTTTCTAGGAAAAAAGTCACAAGGGTTTATTTTGTACATGTCTCAGAACGGAAGGAGCTGTTAGCTATTCATGTTGAAAACATCACCTCCTGTTCAGTGGGATTTTCAATGCATATATAAAGTTGTGCGTCTGAGTGATCCTGATAATGTCCTGGGTTTCAAGTGTGAGGAAACATTTACAATTCTGTAAATCTCCTAGCCGGGAGCACAATTAATATTAAATATTTTGAAATTTAACACAATACCTAAACACATACACTATTATTGCCTCATATTTTAGCCTTCTGCAGCAGTAGCTCTGTTGGGTATAAACTTTTGGTGGGTGAAGTAAGTTGGTTTGTTGGCCTAGCCACAATCCTGAGGTAGCATCACATACCAACTATTTAGGCTGTATACAGAATCTGAGAAGCTCATATTCCCATCAAAACAAGACACTAGTCTTCATTGCATGAAAAGGTAGATGTGGGTATTTTATTCCTTGTGTTTACACATTACACTGCCTGTGGTAGCCTAATGTAAAGGTATTGAGTTGTCAGTCTAGAACTGCACCTTTAAACCTTTAAAGCAACGGTTTATGTTCATGGTTCACCAGTACTCATAACTGCAAACCTCTCAAAGTATACAGCAGTCAACCCATGACTCTGATCAGAAAAACTGAAAAAATGAAATACATTGTAATGTTGCAGTGTGTAGGGAGACTGTGGTTAAGAAGAACCCCTAACCTACTGCATCAAATTAATTTCAAGCAAGATCCCACTACGTTAGTAAAATCCTTCAAAATGACAAAGACAAATTTACTTTCTCTGGGCTTTGGTTTTCCATCTGATCACACTGGTGTCAAAAATGAACTGAAATGTTGCTCTATTTTTGCCACTCACTGTCACCTCAAAGATCTGTATTATTTGCCTGTTGCTAGTCTTGGAGAAAAGGATTAATGAAGCAATTGCATTGAGTAAGTCAGGAGGTCTGTGACAGCCTGCCACCTAGACTAATGGACCTCTCAGACATGATGCGGCCTTATAATTCGGCCGACTCATCACAAAGCCCCAACACTGCTCTTTTACCAGCACAGTGTGCCCCTCCTCCTTTCATTAAAAGGCAAATTCAATAAAGCCTCTGTGTAGTAACATTCTTTGGCACGGTCAGCAGGAGAAAAGCACTCTAGGGACAGG